GCCGGCTGCATGGTGGGCAGTCGGAGCGCAGCCCACGCATGCGGCTCTGCACCCGCTTCTCCAGCCCCTCCGAGCGATCCGCTGGCAGCGGCCATTCCTTGGGGAATGGTGGCCTGGAGGGAGAGCGCGGGACGGTTGGCACAYGGATAAAACTGCCGCTGAGGAAAGCCCCGCTGAGCTGGAGGCCGCCCGGAGCTGTTGTGTAGCGGCTGCTGCCTCCCAGCTATCCCGCAGCCTCGGAGGTGCCTCGGAGCTAGGCCAGGCCCGTTGGGAGATGTGAGTGAACGCAGCATCGCGTCCCTCGCTCGGGGTGCCCAGTGGCCTGGGCCAAGGGCAGAGGGGGGATCGTTCATTAGAAGCGAGACTGGCGCAATTCCTGTTGTCAGAAGAGGCCTCTTCTCTTTGGGAAGTGGCTGCTTCCTCAAACGGCAGCTTCCGTGTCGGGACACAAGGGCCCTCCTTGTGTGGGAAGTACAAGCGCGTCCCTGTTCTGTTGTTTGCGTGAGTGGTCATTTCAGTTGATGTTTAACTTTCAGGAGCCTAAGGACTCTTGGAGACAAAGCTCTGTGTTCTCCAAGCAAAGTTGTCTCTGGTCTGGCCTATCGACCGTGCTTGGCACAGCTTTTGTGTAGCCTTCTGAGAGGTTTTAGCTTGGTGCTCGGTGTGGTGGCCTCCGCCAGTAGGTGCAGCACTAAAAGGGGGGTTGAGTTGCCCACTTTCCCCATGCAGTGTAAAAAATAACTACATCTCACACAGTTCTTATCGTTCTACTCGCATACTCCTATCTGGAGCTTAGCCTTGATCTCCTCCTAAGAACAATTTGCAAATACAAGGAATAAAATAAGGGAAAGAACCAGGCTTATCTTCCACAGGATAGGAAGGCTTGCATGAAAGTTATTTCTGTGTGTGTTAGCCTCTCCTTGCAGGTTAGGTCTTCAGCCAGTATTGTGGGAATCTRTGGATTTATGATCTTATATAAATGTTGTAATGTAAAATGCAACTGTGCTTAGATTGGAAGGCCTGCCTAAGAAAAGGTTTTGTTGTAAGGAGCCCTGAGCTATGAGCATGTTACTCTCCTCCCAGGCACTTGTAAAAGCTGTGAATGTTTTTGTCCTCTTCATCTAGTTCCTCTGTTTTTACTATGCTGTGTTACTTTGTGATTTTTTTTTCTGCATGTGGTTTATCTGCAAGACCCATTTTGTTATAAAAGGTGTAAATGCCCCAATGATTCAAATTGAGGTTTGGGTGTCTAGGAGATTTAGTGCAGGTTTGCAGTTTGGTGGCCCATAACCTGCCTAAGGCACTAAAAGAAGCCAAAAAACTTGCATTTGGAATATGAAGATCTGTTGGTGTGGAAAACCAAGAGGGAACTAAGCAGAATTTAACGTGAAAATTTCACTTCTCAGAACAGAGCTGAACTTCGCCATTCAGAGAAGGGAAACCTTAGGTGACAGCCCGGGTTAGCCCTGCCTTTTGGCTGCAAATGTCCTGTTTATTGCCATCCTGTGTCTCTCCTTAAGGGTGTCCTGTCTCTATGTAGTGTATTAAAGCACCAGGACTGTCTTGCCCAGTAAAAGCATGTGTATGTGTGTGAGAGAAGGGCTCTAGCCTTGTCTTTTTTGCAGTTTAGCTCAAACCTTTAATGGCAGGAAACAGTTCTTCGGCTTGAGGAATGTGCAGGTAGTTGTACAGTAAAGGAGGAGAGCAGCTGGCAGCAGAGCTACTGGAAAACCCACTGGGGCCGCGCTGTTTCCTACAACATCAAAGTGGGTTTTCTCCAGACAGTTACCGGAGTGCAATTATTTAACTAAATCCTTGATATTACTTTGAGAGGTATAGGCTTCCTTCAGCCTTGCAGTGAGATTTACATTCATTTCTTTTTCAGTTTCTCATAGCCATTTTACAGCTGTTTGGTAGCTTTTTCTATGCTACCTTCCAAAAGGGGCCATCGCAGTTACCAGCTAGTATCTATTTTTGTGGCAGTTCCCCCTCTTCCCAGCTGACTGTTTTGATTGCACACGGGAGAGTGTAAGGTTTTCAAGACCTCTACATCTCTGTCAGAGTTGGTCCAATTTGACCAGTGAATTCCAGAATTGTGGCTCCTGGAGACCCCAACAAGCCCACAGTTGACAAAAGAGAGATGTCATGAAATCAGATTAAATAGGTGTCACTGCTGCTAGCCCACTGAGCAGCCAGGAGGCAAGGGAGGAGGCTGCTGTCCTGTCCCCTCCTGCCCTCGGGGTCTAAGGCGTAGTGCCATGAGCTCTGCACCCTTCCATGGGCAGTGTCCTGTTTCCTTGCAGCAGCCCAAGGAGGCCTAGGGAGAGATGCACCTTTCTTCCCTGGGTCGGGGTAAAGAGGAGGGGGCTGCTCACCTAGGTGCCTGCAGCCGAGTTGTGTGTCAGCCACGTCCTGTGCTCTGCCTAGGAGATCCTGRCAGGAATAGGGGCACATTCCCCTTGGGAACATGCTGCATCACTTGCGCTGGGCCATTGAACTGCCATCCATGTAGCTCATCCTTATTTGTGACTTCAGGGCGAGTGCAATAGCGGGTCCTGAACCTAACGGGGGCTGAGAGACTCTAAAGCCTCCTTAATCCTCCAGCCCAACCCTGGCAAATCTGCACCTGGGCCATCTGCCAGGGACTAGCACTTCCCACAGCCCCCGTTCTCCTGGCTGCTATAGGACACTGCGTGTCCTGCTCCCCGCTGGCTGCTGCAAAGCAAGGCCTTGKGGTCAGGGTTGCACTTTGTGTGTGCTCTGTGCATGCCTGCCCTGGGCACRTTGCTGCTTTCATGACATCTTGCAATCCTAACTGCTCTAGGTAYGGCCCTCTCCTCATCTTTGTGCTGCCTGAGTCGCACAGAATCACAGAACGGTTGAGAATGGTTGAGGAAGGGACATCTAGAGGTCATCTAGTCCAACCCCCTGCTCCAGCAGGGACACCCAGAGCACGGGGCACAGGGCGGCATCCAGGCGAGTTTGGAAGACCTCCAGAGAAGGAGACTCCACAGCCTCCCTGGGCAGCCTGTGCCAGGGCTCTGTCACCCTCACAGGAAAGAAGTTCTTCACATGCAGATGGAACTGCCTGTGTTTCAACTTATATCCATTACCCCTTACCCTACCACTGGCCACCACTGAGAAGAGTTCTAGAAGTGGGACTTGCCGGGAGGGAAGAGCAAGACTCCCTTGTTGCCCCTTATTCTTTCCTCCCACCACGGGGGAGCAGCATTGGGTTTGGCTGTCTGTTTTGACTTGTCAGGGCCTATATTACACAGTCTTGTCTTTAGACACCTGCTCCTTCCCATATTGCTCGTCAAACTGAGCAGATATGGCTGATATTGCTGTGTGAGCTCAGGAAAGGAAATGTTGACTCACTGGGTTTGATATTGCCTTTCTTCATTGGTGTCCAAACTCAACAGGTTAGCAGGAAATGTCATACTTTATACAAACACCCAGATAGGAATCGTGGGTATGTGTTACTGTTGATTTAAGGTGAAAAATTGAGTTTGACAGCACGGTAAGGTCATCAGCTCTGTTCTGCACTGGCCTTCTCTCCCTCGGGTGACACGGATGTGGAGCGGATTTGCAGGCACAGGCACTTGTCCAAACACCAATGTTTGTGTCATAAAGTACAACAAGGCCCTTCACAGTATGTGAATGGAATTAGCAGGTAACAAAACATGGGTATTTAGAGAAACACCCCAGTATCCCTCATTTCAGCCTTTTCTTTCTATTTAGCATCTTCCTGCTTCTCTAGTTTGGTTAAGGTCTGCTTTAAGCCACCTCTACCTTGTATCCGAAAGGACAGCAGACAGGATTGCATCAGGACCATTTCCAAAGACTGCCTAGATACATAAGGTAGAAGGGAATCCATTTCAGCCCAAAGAATTCAAACCATCCGGACTTCTATGTAGACCATAACAATTTAGTTRTTTTGGCAGTGAAGGAAATAAAGAGGAAATGAGCTATCACCATGTGACCTGGTCACATTTGTGCCTCAGAAGCCCATAAGATTTCAGTTGCAACTTGTTTTTGTTGTAGTGCAGCTTGAATCATAACACAAGGAAATTTTCTAAAGTGTAACAGCAAATTTGATCAAGATTCAGGCTGAACCAGGCTGTAATCTGGAGACAGAGCACTGTCTGAAGATTGATGCCTTTCCTATGCAGTTTCTGTAGGGCTGTTTTTCAAGTTTGTTCGCAGGTTAGTGTTTGAAAGTTAGGATCTCCAAGCTTAATTCTTCTAGGAAAGTGTTTTGAGGCTCATTTGTTTATGAAAAATTCTCCATGAGTGTGAGGTACAATTCACATGTTGTTGTTTTGATGGAGGGACCTGGATTTATAGTGAGCAAAGTATATTTATTGAGCCAGRGATGCTGTAACAGAGCTTAAAATAGCCTGCTATCCTCTTACATGCAGTGGAAACAGTGGGTCTTGAGGAGGGAAGCTTTTTCTCWTATTAAAACCAATGTCAAGTAATAAAACTGTTTGTAGCTCTTATGATTAAGAAACATCCTCCAATGCCAGAGAGTTAAACCTGGATCATTTTTGGACASCTTGACCCGTGCCTAGTCTGTGTCTTGAAACACTCTCCAAAATGGAAATGTCCTCATATAATGTTTCTCTGCAGCTTGTAAAGAAGGTTTGACRGGCGGTTTGGTAGGGGAAAGTCCTGTGTCATCAGAACCTCCCTCGTGGTCACAAGACGAGTTGCATTAAATCACAGCCTGAGCGAGGCTGTAGGGCCAGCTATGCTGTAACTCCAAAGAGAGAGGGAGAGTTGGTACTGTGATTGGCTCTGTAGTTTTAGAAGGTGGAAGCAGAAAGGACTGAAATAGAAAGTGTAATTTAGAAGGAAATGTAAAGGAGGTTTCTGGAAAAGAGTTGGGATTATAGGAATTCATCACTAAACAGTATTTAAAATGCCGAAGTACCTCTATTAAATGTCTCTTCTGAGATGATAAACCCATTCATTTTATTTTTATTTTTTACAGAATTGCAGGTGTCACAGATAAGAAAAATCTTCATCAGCCCAAGCATCATCAAGGATATGAACACTGCTGTTTCGATCTAGATGGATGAAGAAGCTGACAGCCCAGAAGAGAAACTCCTTTGGTTTTCAAGATGGCAGCGACAAGTGGTGAGAGCCAATTGCAGAGGATTATCCGGGACCTGCAAGGTACGCTGTCGTGCCCACGGATTAACTGTGGAGCCTGGGCTGCATCCTGGGTGGGAGTTGTGTTTTCAACTGTCTAATACTTCATGTGTATTGYCCCAGTTGCTGTACACAAGGTCTGCCATGTGCTCAATGGAGGTGTGACTGGTTTTTTTTCTATGTGAGAGAAGATGTGCTGTATTAAGGATCCAAAATCCTTAAATACTGCCAACTAGAATATACAACATGAGAAATTGGTTAACTTAACTTAAACACATTTAAACTTAACTTAAAACCTTTTTTTCTGCAGAGGGAAAATAGAATTATTCTCTTGTGCCATATGAGCTAGGACTTTTTCACATGAGAAGAGCTATGCTGGTATAAGACTTCACATGAGAGAAACGGAGTATCTGATATTTATCCCCTCCCTTGATGGGAACCTGGTGTCAAGCTGCTTTTAGTGTGGGGAAGGACAAAACTGGGGGCAAACATAGTGTGAAGATAGAGAGCCAAAGGAAGAACACTGGAGAAGTGGATGTGCTCCTCTTGCTGCAGTGGAATGCACTTTCTGCACACTGGCTTGCTCTCTGCTGGCAGTAGCCAGACTCATTTTTCATAGCAATGTTGCAGGCAATGTTGGCAACAGACCTACATTTTCCTGTCTTGTCTGTCCTGAACWGGCTGTACCAAGAGCCAGGCATTTTTCCTCTTTGTTTTGATAACTTAATTAATTGTTAAGTGTCATACACACCAAATCTGAGAATAGGAATCTGGATRTTCCTAAAACATAAAAAGGAGGTGGATATGTCTGGTATGAGGAAGAGATTTTTATTCATGAAGTGGAGTGAGCGAGGGCTCACTCGAGCAGTTGGAAGGAATGCAGAACTAGGTTGAATCAATAATTTTGGATGATGATGATGATGATGATGATGATGATGATGATAAGTATGTCCTTCTGGGTCCAGAGAGCAGTGTGCTTTAATTTGGGATTTCCTAACCCACAGTGGGAGTTGCTTTTATGGAAGAAGATTTGTTGTGTGCTTCTTGTTATGTGATTTTTATATTTTTTTTTCCATTTGCATTTTGTAACCAGCATGAGCTGAATCTTCTAGAATAAAGCGTGGAGAAGATAAATGTGCTGACTGAATGACTGTTCTTGTGTTACTGATCCCCTTTWGCAGATTATGTGTTCTGTCCTTTCTAATCAGAATCGCCTGTTGCAATAGAAGAACCTTAGTGTGCACATGAGACAGCAAAAAGTTATTTCTCTTTCCTCTGTTGAGAATCAAGGTTGCAATTGTCTGTTATCACTTTTCTTAATGAGTTTCCGGAGAAGGTTTTACTACTTTTAAGGAGAAGAGATAATAAATCAATATGACAATTTGCATAATTTGAGCTCTAGTTTTTGTTATAGGTGGCCTTAAATTACAAGCATAACAGTAAGCTTTTGCACTGTCATTAAAATATTTTTTACTGAAACAAACCAAATACACATGCATAGCATCAAGGCAAAAAAAATATTTAGTTATTTAGGGATTCAGTGCTAAATATCTTCTGCATTAGTTAATCATTCTTGTATCTTGTCTTAAAGATTCTGTRACTGAATTAAGCAAAGAATTTAAAGAAGGAGGAGAACCGATCACAGACGATAGTGTCAGCTTGCAAAAATTCTCCTACAAACTTGAGTACCTTCTCCAGGTAAGAAGTGATGTTTGTTATTCATAATCCAGCATCAAAGCTGGGCCTTTCTTTCTGTTACTGTCTCTACAAAGTGTGGTGTATTCAAATAGTAATTGTAAGTAGCCAGTTGAGTGTCTCTTACTTGAGTAAGTGGCCTGAAATGTTTGGTCTTTCATGTATATATTTCGAATGGAAATATATAAACATAATCAAGACATGGCGTTGGCAGGTTAGTTGGAAAATGTAAGACATTTCCCACTGATCTGAGCCTGATTTTTGGAGACATGCACTTCTAAATTATCCTGGAAAAACTGTGTTAATGAGGTCCTTACCACACTTTAATACAAAATGAATAYAGGTAGGTAGCTCACTGTGCAAATGTGCCAGTCTGAATAATGTAGAGAATTTTTTGTGAGTTCATTGTGGAAATTCATTTTTATAGTATTTAAAACAATACAAAAGGCTGTATTTAAATCTTGAATGCTGCTTTTTGGCCTTCTCAAAGTTGAAGAACTTTTGAATTGCAAAAGAAGATGCTCTGCTAGGAAAACAAGTTCAGTTTGCATAGTCTTTGTCTATACACACTATAACCACGTCACTGACTGCAACCCAGATGTTCTAATCTAGCCTTAATCCAGGCAAGGTAGTTAGAACTGAGTTGCACAGGCTTTAGCAGAAGCTAAAGAAATTCYTTGGGATTTGAGCATCCAAGATGCATTCCATACACTTCCTGCTTCACCTGTCTGTGCGGGATTTAGCTAGAGCAAGTTTTTCTGGTATGCACATGCAGACTACTGGCACACTTCTTGTTGCAGGACTTGCAGTTCCTTGCAGTTGATAAATGGCTGCTGAAACTGCTCTAAAACTTAATGTTTCAGAAGTTTTGAACAGATATCTGTATTAACTAAAACAGGAACATTGATGTTTGTTACTCTTTGCAAACTAGCTTTGCGATTGCATTGATGCCATGGGGTTGCATTGATGCCATAGAATATCTCTTCCTGTTGTGAATARTTTGTCTAAAACTATGTAGAGTTGTGAGAGGAAGAGAATTCCACATTAGCTATATTTAAGTATATTTATATTTGTTTCACTGATTGCTTTTTTTTTTTTTTGCTTGTTTAAGTTTGATCAGAAAGAAAAAAACACATTGCTGGGAAATAGAAAAGACTACTGGGATTATTTCTGTGACTGTCTGGCAAAGGTCAAGGGAGCTAATGATGGAATCCGCTTTGTTAAGTCTATTACAGAAGTAAGTATATCTGTTAAACATCACAACACATCCTTCATGGCTTCATGGTTTAGCATGTCCTTCTGAGGGACCTGCAGCACCAAATTATCTAAGACTAGATCAAGTGTTATGTGGATAAAATCTATGTTGATCCCTGAGTCTGCTCTGCTTTTTCATTAAATTGCTGACATTCACTCTAAAAAGGAATGAAAAATTAAGCCAAGGACAGAGCCGGCCATTGTTAGCAGAGCTTCCTTTACAGCAGGGCTTGCTGTAAGTGTGAGAGGAAGGAAACACCATGTTAACCTTTCTTAACACTTACTCGTTCGCCAGTGAAGTTGAGGAGTGACTGAGAGCAGAGATTCAATCTCCGGTCTCTGCTTCATTCCTTGATGTCAGAAAATCTGGTTTAATGGTACAGGGTAGTTGTTACTGTAACCTTTGGCAGGCTAATACAAACAGGACAAATAAATTATTATTTTTTGTTAGATTTAGAGATAAATCTCATTAACAGCCATACTACATTTGTAACTAGATTAGAGAGTGAGATAAATATGGCAAGAAGTTTACAGTGCTGATCCTGTCTGAGCCTTTTGACTACTGGAATCATTTGAAGAGGAACTTCTGTGTGGGGAGAAAGAGGTGGTGGTTTGACAGTGCAGCCGGTGTTGTCCTGATGCCCAGTTTTGTTATCTCTGAGCAATGCTAAGTTACTATTTACAGCAGATTTACTGTTCTCTGAGCAATTTTTCCACAGCAGCTCCAGCTAATATTACATTGAGCTGTCTGARAGAGAGTCAGGAGACTCTAGCATAGGTGGGCTCTATGTTCCCTCACTCATTTTCTCCTTTAATTTTTGCTGCTCCAATGTGGACAAGCCACAGCAGGCCTTAGAAAAAGAAGTAGGAGYGAGCCCTGAAATCCATCTTTGTTTTTCTGCAGCCCTTAGGAAGATCAGAATAGTAAAGGCAGTGACTTCAGCTGCAGAAAAGGTCCTGTTGCTGTAGCTACTGTCCTGTAAATGCTCAGCTGCAGTAGCCAACCTGACTTCTCTGAAAAAAACAACCATGCTGCAGGCATCAGCAGTCTGTTCAGTGTGGTAACACGGAGCATGTTACCGTGTGTTAGGGCAGCTCTGCTTTTCCTCCTTCCCCRGTAGCTGTCACTATTTAATGTTTTGCATTGTAGCAGAAATTATGGTTTGGTTGAAGGACTGTTTCAGTTTCTTTGCAGCCATAGAAAYTGGTTTTCTTTTAACTTGGTAACTTGGTTTGTTGGCTTGTGGTGAATATGCTAGAAATGAATATGGGGTTGTTCCCATTCAGTACAGGTGAAAATAAGCAGGCAGTATTTSAATCTAGCTGGGTAGAACGTTAAGTTTTATGAATCTCATTTATTTATTCACAGAACAGTGTATGTTGACTTTCAAGTTGGAAGTGAGCAAGGAGGAAAGAATAGTGCCAGTCACTCTTTAAGGAAGGACAAACATTTAACAGCTGCTGCCTCCTCTGCTGTTTTCTCTGCAATGCTCTGATATTAGGGTACATGGCAATGCTGCTCTGATATTAGGGTACACGGCTCTGATATTAGGGTACACGGCACACTAGAGAGATAAAGGAAGATAGAAAACAGGAACACTCCAGGAACTGCCTTGCTGTTAACTAGACAGGGAGCCTAGTCCTTGAAAGCGTGAGGTGAATTCTGGTTGTTTCCCTACACTTGAATCACTTGAAGTGATTACCCTGAGAACATATCTTTGCAAGTCTTCTGCAGCTGCATATTTTTTCTGGTTTTCTGGTTTTAAAAGTTATGCCCAGCCCTACCACCTTAGCTGCAAATCATGCACTCAGCATGGAGCCTGTTGAAGTCTGGCAGGCTCTAGAAAGCTATCTGGATACTGGTAGCTGCAYATATGTGAATATTTCCCACCTTTACTGTTGTCATGAGTGTTCTAGAATCTCTATGCAAAGGGGAAGATTGCTGTTGATAGACTGATGGGAATAAGGACAGAATTAGCTCAATAGCTTTCAGTGGGCTCTCTGGCTAACCTTAAGGGAGCCACTAAAACCCCTAGTGAGGAAGAACACTTGTCAGTGTGCTTTTGTGCTCAGAGCAAGGATTGCATCTCTCTGGGAAATATCCAGGGACCATTTTTATGGAATGGATTGCTGAGATTTAGCAAAGAATATGTTCCTTGTATSCCCTTGAAGGCAGAAGCCCAGTGACAACAAAATCAAGGAGTTTTAGATTTAAGATATTACTCTCCATGACTGTGGAGTATTGATCAAATGAAGAAACAACTGTTTTGACCTTTACACCTTCTTCCACTCTGTCGTTTCAAGCAAAATTTCAAGTAGCCAACTAACGTGAACCTCAACCTTCGAATATTCTCTTGGCCTCCATTTTTTCCTCATGAATAGATTCAGTTTGTTAAATGAGCAAGCTGTTTGGTTAGCATTATAGGAGAGCATAGCTGACTGTTGAGAAAATCTTTTCATCTTTTTAATTTTCCATTCCTACATTATTGATTTCATTGCAGAGTAGTAACAAAACGTTAGTGGTTTTCTGAAGGACAGCAAATAGCTTAAATAGGAAAGACAAAACAAAAGGGAGCATTAGTCCCCAAGTCAATAGCTTTAACAAAATTCAGTGTTGAGTTTTGTGATTTCCCACTATGTTGATTTATTAGCCATCTTCCTAAAAAGATCTGTTAATYCCAATCATGTAGCTGTTCTTGATGTGAGTATTAAGGCATTTTGCGTGAGCTGGGGTTGTATCCTTGGGGATATGTACGTGCATTTCTGTACACCTTCGTACCTTGGATGGATCTGTCCTCAAGCATACCCAACTGTGACCAGAAGCAGCTTAGAGTGCTTAAAAACAGGCATTCCTGGCTTGTATTGGAATTGCCTTGTAYTGAAATTGCCCTTAGCATAGTCTATACCCATGTACTCAGCATGTTGGAAGATGCATTAGTTCTCTGATGCCTTCTATATGGGAGAGAGTGTATCTCTGGCATTGCTTATTACTTCCTTTACACCTAGTGGCTTGTTGTGTTTTTTGCGTATATGCTTGTAGCCTGTCCTGCTCATGTCTCTATACGTGTTTTTAAGTAGTGTTTAGATTTTATTTTTATTTTCCTGCTTAACCCTTCCAGCTACGAACATCTCTTGGGAAAGGAAGAGCCTTTCTTCGTTACTCTTTGGTTCACCAAAGACTAGCAGATACCTTGCAGCAATGTTTTATGAACACCAAAGTGACCAGGTAAATAGCAAAATACCTTGTTAATCAAGGGRGATTGTTCAGTGCAAACAAGCAAAAGAACAAAAGATTGACAGATGGCTATTAAATGAAATGGAAACCCTTCCAGTTGTTGGTTTATAGGGCTGGTAATAGGGTACAAATAAAAATAGACCATCTGGCCTGGGTCACTAGTTCATACCTATCTTAGACTGGTAAATGTTGACATGTTGTTACAGTTCAGCACATGTGCAGTGAGTGGCTCATCCAAGTCCTGATGTGGGTTTTGAAGGTAAAATTTTCCTAAGCACTTAAGATATTGGGTTTGTCTTATGTGCTGTACATCAAAAAGGAAATTAACTGGGTTGTGTTGTGCAAAACCTCAGAAAGTGTTTGCTACTGTACAGCTTGACCCTGGCCAAGGAGTGGCAAAGACGGCTTATAGTTAGCTGGGAGGGATGCAGGAGGTTGGGTTTTTAGGAAAATCCATCTATATGGCAAAAGCCACCCACTGTATGGCAGCAATTCTGTTTTGCCAAWCTTTTGCTCAAGCACTAGAGCAAAAAAATGTTTTGTGGGGGTGTTTCTTGGAAAAAATGTTTTTATAGGCTTCATTGAATACTTTGCCTTCATTTGTATTGAAGGGGTGTCRTCTTGGTTGATGTTGCTTTCATTTTCCATTTAGAGTATTTTTTCTAGGACAGAGTCCGTGTTTTAGGAGAAAAAGGTCAATTAAAATGTTTTGTTTTCTTGCAAGTGAAACTCCAGCTTTGTTTCACTTATAAATGAATACTACTTTATTTTTTTTTGTTTGTTTTCAAGTGACTGGTACTATGCAAGAAGTCCATTTCTGAATTCCAAAATGAGTTCTGACATTGTGGGTCAACTCTACGAGCTTACTGATGTTCAGTTCGACCTGGCATCAAGAGGCTACGATTTAGATGCTGCGTGGCCAACATTTGCCAGGTAAGACAGAAACACTTTGTTGCTTTGTAGGACACAAAACCTTCCTACAGAATCTGTAAAAACCCTTTTTGCTTTTGAAGGTAGCAACACCTATGTCAGAACAGGCCTACAGTTACTCCGTGTAATTATTCCATGACTACATTGGTCTTTTTTTYTTGTACGTTAAACCGAGATCAGTTTTCATGCTCCCAGAGGTCCTTAATAGAGTYTTTCCAGTAACAGGAGTTTGGACTCAAATCCCAAAGTGTTTTCTTCTTCACAGACACAAGTAGATATGTTCCTGACTCCTTTGTTTAAAGCTCTCGGGCCCCTAGTGCCTGAGTGGCCAAGGAGTCTGCTTCACCTGCTCTAGAGGTGGATAGGGTTGGCAGYGTGGGCTGCGAGGGGACAAGAACAGACACTGCTAGGACTGATGCAGAGAGCTCTCTGTGGCCACATGCTGCCACCGTCTGGTTGAGCACCCACCACACAGCAAAGCAATTGCAGAGCTGAAAAGCACACTGAAGCTTGTACCAGTCCCACAGTCTCCTGTCAGCACCTTTCTCTGTTTTGTTTTCCATCAGCTTCAGTGACTGTTGGCCTAGACACCAAGCACAGTTATGTATTGCTGTTGTGGTAGTTATAGCTAGGTATAACTTACAAATAGGAGTAGAAAAGCAGGTRTGTATGTGCTTAGCCCTCCCTTTTCTTGCTCCATGTGACTAACAGGAGAACACTGTCCTCTCTTGGATCTTCTGCATATTTATGGAAGCCCCCAAGTCGCAGTTCCAGCATGAGCAGTTTAGTGAGCAACTACTTGCAGGTAAGCACATTAAAAATAAATGTTTGGACAGAAGTATTACTTTCTTAGCATGATAGATCTTTAGTTACTGACATAGTTTCTTAAAGGTAGATAGTTTTATTATGCTTATGACTCTTACAACATTCTGAGATCTTTAATTTGAAATGAAGAGGATGGTCCGGTAGCTGATTCAACTGAACATACAAATATTTTAAAGGAAAAGATTTGAAGTGCATAGATGGTATAGAAAAGCCTGTAAATCAGTCAGTCAAYGACAATATCAGTAACTTGAATTTTTAACAGCCTTTTTTTTAATCTTGTTCTTAACGTTATTATTGCAAGTAGCTAGTAACAAAAACGCTAGGCCATCCTTATTTCTAGAACTTTTGAATTCTTTTATTTATTTGAAAAATGCAACTTCAAATTAAATTTCATACTCCCTGTTTTCTTTCTGCTCATGCAGGCCCAAGAGTTTCCCTCCAGCCCKGATGTAAATAACTCACTGAATGTTGAACACCTTGAGGGCTTTGAAGAGATGCGTGTCGAACTCGACCAGGCTGAGCTGAGACAGAGAGAGCTCCAGGATCGAATTCACCAGCTACAGATGGAAAACCAGGAGCTCCAGGCAGCCATCAACGTGCAGAGAGAACAAGTACAGGTAGAAAAGGAGAAGAGCAGCAACTACAGTGAGGAGAACTCCCGGCTGACAAAGATGATTGCAGAGCTGCAGAAGCAGTGTGAGGTCTCCCACTCCACTCAGAGCACTGTTCACGATCTGCAGAAGTGCCTGCAGTCACTGGAAATGAATGCAGTGGAGCAGCAGAAGGAATACTCAACGAAGCTGGAGCAGCTGGAGAGCAGCAAGGAGAACTGTGCCTCAAAGTTGCAGCTCTTGAATCAGGAGCTGGAGGCCTCTAGGGCTTTGATCACTGTGAAAGATCTTTGCATTGATGAACTCAAGAAGAAACTGAGTTCAACAGAACAGAAGAAYATTGAGCTCCTGGCAAAAGTTGATGCCGCCTTGGAGGAAAAAGGACAGCAAGCCACAGCCCACTGTGATTCTGCCATACAGATACAAGGATTGTTGGAGAAACTTCAGGAGAAAGAAAAGGAAAAAACAGAAATGCAAAGACTCAGTGATGAACATGCATCTCAGCTTAAAGCAGCAAGGGAGGAGCTGCGGTTGAAAGAAGAGGTACAGAAGGAACTGGAATCCAGATATAATCACCTTACCACTAACTCTAGGGAAGAGAGTGAAAAGCTGCTTGGGAGCCTGGAAACCATGGCAAAGGAAATGGAATCTCTTCAGAAGGCCCTAACCTTGAAGGGGAAGGAAGTGGCTGAGCTCCAGACCCAGGTAATGGGGTTGCTGGCTCAGGTAGGGTCACTGGAAAAAAGTCTTGAGGAGGCAAGGAGAGAAAAGGAGGAACTTGAGGAGGAGTATAATAGGAGGGAAGGAGCACTGAAGAACGAAGCCCAATCTCTGGCAGCGCAACTTGAACTACAGGAAGGTCAGTTAACAAAGGTGAGTCACACTGTGCATAGCCTTGAGGAACAAAACCAGAAAATCTCGTCTGAAAAGGAGCACCTCAGCCAGAAAGTCAAGCAGTTGGAGGAGCAGATGGAGCAGCAAAACTCTGCAGTGAGTGAAAAGGATGAGGAGAGCTGTAAACTGAAGTCAGAGAATACAGATTTGCAGCAGGACAAGAAGAAGATGGAAGAGAAGCTGAAAAATGTGGAAGAGTGTAAAGCCTCCCTGGAAGCTGAGGTGGCCAGGCTGAGAGCCTCTGAGAAGCAGCTTCAGAGTGAGATAGATGATGCCTTGGTATCAGTCGATGAAAAAGAGAAGAAGCTCCGGGAGCAGAACAAACAGCTGGATGAAGACTTGCAGAATGCCAGGAGGCAAAGCCAAGTTCTGGAGGAGAGGTTAGGCGCTCTACACTCCGACTACCAAGTACTGAAGCAAAGAGAAGAGGCAACCAAGGAGTCTTGTACTCTTCTTGAAGGACAGCTGAAGAGTGCCAAACAGTATAACTTACAAATAGAAAAGAGTTTGGACTCCTTGAAGGAAAGTGAAGAGTCTCTCCAGTCACAGCTCACTGAGAAGGAGGCAGAAATGCAGAGCATGGAGAGCCGGTGTGAGCAGCTAAGAGCAGAAACTGAAAATCACAGGAAGAAAGCAGAGCTTCTTGAGATGGAAAAGCTGAGCCTTGAAAAGAYGTGTCTCCACCAGACGGAGCTGATTGAATCCCTCACAGCAGAGAAGAATTCAGTGGAAAAACACCAACTAGAGCAGACCGCATCTCTGGAGAAAGAGGCAAAAGACCTGGCCTCCAGGCTGGTCATGAGCGAAGAGCAGCTGCAGGTCAACCGAGGTGAGGTGTCTAGGCTGCAAGCAGAAGTCCTGGACCTGCGAGTCAAACTACAGCAGACCACGGCCGAGGCAGAGCAGATGAGAGGCGAGCTGGCAGTCACCGGGACTGTCTTGGAGGAACAGAAGATGCTTGTCCAACAGCTGAAAGAGGAAAGTGAGTCGCTTAACAGAAACCATGTGCAAGAGTTGGTGCAGTGTAAAGAGAGAGAAGAAGTGCTAAAGAAAGAGCAGGAGAGGGCAGCCCAAGAAAAAGCTGAGCTGGAAGATAATTTGCTGAATCTGAAGGAAGAGCTGTCCAGTGTTAAACAGTACTTGGAAGTTGTTAGAATGGAAAATGAGGAAAACAAAGATCTGCTCCACAGGACCAACACTGATATGGCTGAACTTGGTATTCAGATTTGTGCTGTGACCTCTGAGAAGGTGAATACAGAAGAGAAGTTAGTTGAGGCCACAGGGAGGCTCAAAGAGCTGGAAGAACAGACTGCAGAGGAACAGGAGAGGCTGAAGCTTGACATCTCTGCTCTCAGGCAGGAGAACAAGAGCCTGCAAGAGCAATTGGAGGAAGCTCAAATATGTGCCGCGGCTGTCCCAAGTCTGCAAATGCAGCTGGAGACAGCAAAGAAACAGGCACAGAGCTTCCAAGAGACCAGCCAGGAAGAGCTGTCCGCAATTAAATTTCAAATGAGCACAGAGATTCTAAATTATGAGACAAAATACAAGGTAAATTAATGTGGTCATTATTCCTCAGGGAGCTGTGCATGATTTCCCCTGCTTCATCATCTGATACAGGAATTACTAGGTGAAATACTAAGGTTGTGTTGTTGAGGCCCTGAGGCTAGCAGATCACAGCTAGCCTTAGCATGAGAATCTGAAAATGTCTCTACACTCATGAGCGGGGTGACTTGAGGTGAAATTGGCCTTTGGAGTTCTTTGAAGATGTGTAATGTGGCCCTCTGAACTCAGTGGAGGGGCATGTGCTATGGAAAAGGCAGCCAGTAGTGAAGAGGGTAGTAACTTTTTATGTTGACTTCACCACTAAAGGTAGCATCTCTTTGACCTATGCTCTAAAGTCACAGTCTTTATTTTTTTCCCTTTTTTTTGTTTGTTTGTTTTTTGTTTTTCTTGGTATGAACACTGAGACTTGCCCCCATGGCCCTACACTACTTCCTCTTACAGCTGGTTTTGATGAAAACAAATTTAGACTGCGACAATATGCTTTTGCAGATAATTCCTCATGTATTTTTGTTTTTGACTGCTCAAGGTAACGTCTGAGAAGATCAAAGTTTTGCTCCCACAAAAGCATGAGTCAGCCCTGTGTATGCGAAGCGGCACCCCTGAAGGCTAAAGATTTTAGTGTGTTTGTTCTGCCATTCTGAGATAGTGTCTAAGACTGGCAGCTGATCAGAGGTTTGTGCCCCTGGTAYGCAGAAATCCTGTGAGTGTAAGAAAACTGTGTGCATTCCATTGTGTTTCTCTCTCATATGCACTTAAACCTCGACRTGACTTGGGCTGTCTTGCTCTTTTGAGCCAAAACAATTGGCAAGCAGGATCTTCTTTTTAYTGAAAACTGTAATAGCCCATAGCAAGTTTCAGTAAAATCAGCTTATCTGCCACCACAAAAGAGAGTTGTCTTCAGTCCATGCATCATGTGCCTCTTTAACTGTGTCTTTCATGAGTCTGAAAGGGGCACTGTGTTTATCCCATGTGTGACAGCACAGCACTTGCACCCCACCCCGGGCAGTTTCTTAGGTGGAGGGGTGGCAGCTGGGGGGCTCCTAACTCCTGGTTCAATGTCTCTGCCAGGCTGCCAGTGAGGAGTGTGGGAAAGTACAAGAGCAACTGGAGGAGCAGAAGCGACAGCGGTGTGCTGCAGAGGAGGAGATTGCAGAGCTGCAAGTAGGTGCTGCACGTGGAGGTGTTTGTGTCAACAGGCATTAGCGTCACCAGGCAGGCAGCTGGCGTCTTTGTGAGCCTGAGAATGCCCTTGGGCAAGCTGCTGCAGCCAAATGCTTGGGAACCTAAGGGTAGATGCTGAAGCAGAAAATAGCGAAGGCAGCACTTTGAAAAAAGTTCTCTCAAAGCAGGATTTGTGCTGCTTTGAAAGCCGGTCAGGTGTTACCTAAGACCTAGCTGCGTCTTTGATTCTTCAGTGGAGGCACAGTTTAAAGTGTCTGTCTTAAGCCCTGTGTTCCTGTCCTGCACAAACCTGCTTGTGCAGGATCACTGCACAATCCAAATATTTGTAGGCTGCAAGGGGCACTGAATCAGAACCGTTCTGGCTGAGAAATAACTCAGCCAGAAAAACATATGTGTATTTTCATGCATTTGTCAACTACTGGAGTTAAGAGAGTAGTACTGAGGTGTCAATAAGAGGCTGAGAAAACAGAAAATTAAGGTTAAGGAACCTGGCCCTGTGTGGTGATACAAACATGTGCACATGTGGAGGACTCAATACAATTTACACTCGTTACCTGAGAGTCCAAATTTGGCAGATCTGTCCGCAGAGGCTGACTTTGGAATAAGTTTTTGTTTCCATTGTCCATCATGTTCCATGTAGCTTTAAAGAGCAGCACAAACTGTGGATATTTAACTGCTGTTTTATTTTTCTTTTGAAGCTTTTAGATGCTGAAAAAACTTCTAGACTCGTTGTCTTTAGGAGATACTCCTTTATAAGGAGACAAAATCTGATTACATGGGCTAACAAGAATTATAGGCACTGTTTAATGCTGTCTTACTTTAGAGTTCATCCCTTATTCAGTGTGACAGAAGTAATCAATCATTAGTACACAATTAATTAGTGTCTGCTTGCACAGTAAAATCTGGATAGATGGCTTGGCTTTAATTGACTCTTTCAGAGCATTGTTTACATGCCTTGCTAACTTGTGAAATGCTTAGTAAAGTGCTGGTTTTTCTGTGTATGTAAATATAATGATTTGTTTTACTAGGCTGCCAACACAAGTTTGTCTAGCAAGCTGGATGAGGCAAGAGAGCAGCTGGCTGAATCCGAATCTGCTCGGCTGCAGAAGGAAGAGGAGGTGATGTCTCTGAAAGCACTTTTAGAAAGGTGAGAATTTGGTTCTCTTACACAAGTTCTTATCTGGAAGCCAAATGAAGAGCCAGTAACCGAAGACATATGGAAAGTTGCTATGATATATGAAGCAGTGTTTGCCTAAGGATTTATGTAGGGGAAACAGTACGTGGATTCTCTCTGGGAAAATCAGATTGATACCTCCAAGGAGAAGTATGTAAATTACAAAGTAGTCATGAATTGGGCTGCATGGTTTAAATTTTATTGTTTTGTTAATTTGACTGCTGACTTAAATTCGTTGTCTCACTTCCTTTATGAAACTGCAAGACCTTTCAAAACCTCCTTTTACTCCTAGAGGTTAATCACAAAATTAAAATAGCAGTATTGGCTGGGTTTGTTGTTTGCTTGTTTTTAGTAAAGAATGGAAAAAATCCTTTTTTTTTTCCATATTTTTTCAGGTGCACAGTAAGTTTTGTTTGAATAGGACCACACATCCTGCATGTCTTACTCAGCAGTTATCTTACCAGGTTTAGATCTCTGACTCAGGATATGTTTACAAGGTCCACAGTATTGGATCTGTACTGTGCAGATTACCTAGGAGTCCAAAACAGATCTTCATGAGGCAGGAGCACGCATGGTTCTGATGAGCCAGCCAAAGCCTATGTCACTTTGACTGGATAACAGATCCACATGCAGTGCTCTGATGCAGAAAGCTGGACAGTTTCTGGTTAGCTATGAAAACATGCACAGTAATTCACTGAACAATTTCACTGAAGCTTCCTGTTTATCTTCCTTAGAGAAGACTTTCACACACGTGAATTAAAAAATAATTTAATTGCATTTGTGTTTGATCAGGACCCAAAAGGAAGCYGACGAAGCAAAAGAGCAAGCCCTTGAATACAGCGACAAGCTCAGCAAGGTGGTAGCAGACAAAGACAGCAGCGACCAGAAGCTGTTGGCCGAGCTGGATGACCTGACAAGAACAAAACAATTCCTTGAAGAACGTTTGATAGAACTTATCAGGTTAGCATCAGTAYGATCAGCAGGCAGAAGTTAAAATCCTAGTTTAGAATTTTAAGGGATATTGCCTTAGTAATTGCCTTAGTAATTTTCCCAACCCATATTTTATTCCTGAAGKCTCCCTGGAAGTTACAGCAATGCAATTTATTGTGAAGCTTTCACTAGTGTTCAGTTTGAGGTTATTTAACAAAGCACCATGGATACTTCTTACGTGTTTTCCCTCTCTTTAACTGTGTCTCTACAGAGATAAGGATGCTCTGTGGCAAAAATCAGATGCTCTTGAGTTTCAGCAGAAGCTTAGTGCAGAGCAGAAATGGCAGGGGGACATGGATGTCAACCACTGCCTGGACTGCCAGAGAGAGTTTTCATGGATGGTGCGCCGACATCACTGCAGGTGAGTTTGGGACTCTTAACATGTTGTTCAAAAAGAAAACCCACTTTGATAGTCTACCTAGAGAAAATACTCCTCAAAGTTCTCAGTTCTGATTTCTGGAAACCAAGAATTTGCATTAGAGAAAGAATTGCTCCCTACACACCTTGTTTCTTGCAGGCTTTTCTCAACCTGACTGCTGACCCCTCTGTATGTGGAAAATAACATTCCCTAAAATGGTTTTGTTACTGTGATTGGAATATTCCAGAATGAACACAGCATGTCATGAAACTATAAATATGCTTATCTGCCTTAGATATGTTGAGATAGTTACCAATTGCACAGTAATGTTTTTAAGAAATAAAAAGTTTGTACTGAGTTGGTGGCTCTAAAGTTAGCCTGATTTAAGTCATTAGTCACCTCGACCAAATATAAGAGATATTTGAAGAATTCTTGGTGAGTTAATTAATGACTGATAGTACATTCAGTACATTTCAGAGTCCTAGTGATATATTTGCTTTGGCTCTTTACTGTCATTTACCCTCATTACCAGATTCATCATGTAAGGCAGGTAGCAGTGGGACTCTTTCAACTTGATAGTAATGAAGAGAATGTTTCTTGGTGGTAAAAGAGTAATGAAGTATTCTCCAGTAGCAACTTTCAAATTACTCATTTCTACTAAAACCTGAAAAACCTGTTGATGTTTCCAGCAATACCTACTAGTGATTCAGATAATTATGAAACCCAAAAATGCTAAGACTTCAAACTTGACAATAATACCTGCTAGGTGCTTTTCTTCATGGAAGTCTTAACCTGTTCATTAAAATGTATTTGATGGATTTAATAATGACAGGCTGTGGAAGTGGGCAGTGCAGAATCAGTGAATGTACATACACATCTCCAGTGTTGACCCTTCCCTTTCTGAAGAGGGTACCAGGGTGATAGAGAATGTAGAGGCCTGYAGACCTGTTCTTACACTCCTTAATATCAATTAGAAATTTGCTCTAACTGAATATGAGATTTGGTCTGTGTAATACTATTTAATATATGTTTTATTTACTTGTATTGCATACTTATGGGTAATTCAATTCTTTCTATGCATTTCTTTGTATCTAAATGCATAATCTTGCTTTCTTTCTTTTTCAATATTTTTATGTTTTTTTTCCATATTCCCCCTTTATTGAGAAAACAAAGATTAAATATGCATTTCTGTTTCCTGTTTGTCAAGAAAGCTTGCTTAATCTCAGAAAGCAGCACGGTGTGTGTTACGAGTTTTGCCGGGGACGTGACTTTTGCAGTGAGCAAGGCTCTTGTGACAAAACCCTGGGTTCTGTCACATACATRATGGCCTCCTATAAGTGGCACTGCTCTCATGCCCCTGTTTTTGAATCATTTCTAGAATGTGCGGTCGCATTTTCTGCTATTACTGCTGCAACAACTACATGGTGACAAAGCATGGTGGGAAGAAGGAGCGTTGCTGCAAGGCTTGCTTTAATAAGCCCCGAGTGTTTGTGGACTATACAGATGACTCTGGGTCCAGTGCAAACCAGGAAGGATCACCAGCTTCGTTGGAATCACCAGTGTCACCTACGGAAGCAGCTTTTGGTTAGTGCACTGTTTCACATGCTGCTATGAAATAAGTGGGATTCTTGGATGTTCTTCAAGAAACCAGGTGGTCACCTTCTGCTTCATGAACTTGCGTACTCACAGAGTTCTGTCAGGATGGAATTGGTCCCATCCCTGGATATTATTAATATTGCCACACATCTGCATGTAGATTAAATGAGGCTTTGCAGGCCTGAGGATTTCAGTTGCTTCTTAGTAGTTGCCTAACRTCTCTGTAAATGTAGAAGGGTAGCCCAGGATTCCTTCTGAAGGGTTTTCTGGTGGTGATGGTTCATTACTTGGTTTTATTTTGTTTTGTTTATTTCTCAAACAGCCCCAGATACTTGTGTTGACATTACTGATGTTTTTCTTGATGTTGTTTTATGGCACAGTCACAAGTGAAGCCTCTCAACCACCAGATGATGCAGCATTTGATATAATCACYGATGAGGAGTTGTGCCAAGTACAGGAATCAGACTTGCTCCACAATGAAARTCAGATGGAAGGAGAGTCTCTGGATCAAAGTGTGACAGATTTGTGAGTAAACAGTGTTTCATGAAATGGAAACTCTTCTAGATTTTATTGAGTATTTTTTTTTGYTGTTTACTTGTTTGTTTTTCCCCATARTGGTTACAGCCAACTTTTGTATGAAGAGAAACCACTTCCATTCCTAACCATATGTTCAGTAGACCAACATAGAATAATTTTGGCCTGTTTCCACAGTCAGCATCAAATCTAGTAAATCCAAACAGGATTTTTGGAAGATATCCCCTCCCTCTGCCTGTGTTTCCCCCAGTACAAAGAATTAGTCACAGTTCTATGCTGAAAGAGTCAGCTCACAAGCCAGACCAGCTCACTGGTTGTTTCTCATTTTTCTGTGGTAGGAGCTAGCAAATACTCTTCATCAGACCAATCATTACTATCAGTGGAAAAAAGAATCAAAAATCTTTTTATCTTATCACAGACTTCATTGAAGTGGGTGTAAAATAACTGGTCTGTGTAGGATTCCTTACTACTTAAAAGAGATTGTTAACAGAAGAAAAAAGAATAGCAATTACATAGCTAAATCTGCCACAGCTTCACTTTCTTTTCATCAGAAAATGTACGCAGAACTGTATATTTCAGTCTTTTTTTTAACATTTGTTTCTGCATAATTTAGCAATTAAATTAATTGCTAAAAGTCTACTGAGTTTGCAACCTATATGTTGTACTATTATAGTTTAATGTTTTACTTTCTTTCAAATATTTATTAAATTCCCTTCTGTAAAATGTTTCAAAACATGTCTCGTTTCAAAAATGAATAATTTCTGCTAATATTCTTATTTGACAAAGTTGCAGCTTTTATATATTTGAAAAGAAGATGAAGAGCAATTTCACCTAAACTCTCTACTTGTTTTGCTTCTCAGAAGAAAAATCAGGGTGATAGATCTAAGTGCTGAACTGAAAATAGCCGCAGAGTAACCAGTCTGTGCTACTGAAAAGGCTTAGCTAGATTCTTTTGCCCTCAGCACAACCACTTCCTGCATAAACCACCGTGGCTGCTACTTAAATAGAAGGCAGACTGTACAGACTTGTTTACTTGAAGGAGGAGAAAAAAAAAAAAGAAAGAAAACTTCTCAAACCTCTATGTTTTGTTTCTTGGCATAAAAAGTTCTGGGAATTCTGCCTGTTTTGCCATGCACACTGACAATGTATTTGTGCTTATCACACACGGAGCAGACATGATTGTGTTAAGCCTCACAGTGCTTTTGTCAAGTTAGTTATATCTTGGTTTTACAAAGTGACAGCCTAAAGTCAGGGATTTTTTGTTTTAGCTCTTATGTAATGTACTACTGCTCTGAGTAATGACTTAGAAGATTTCATGCTGTCTGCAGAGGGAACATTAGAGGAGAATTGGCTCTGGAACCTACAACCAGGAGAAAAGCAGGTTTGTCTATGGCTGATATTTTTGAGGAGTTTTTTAGCACTGGGATGTATTTATCTTGCCCCACAGTGTATTTAGGCTGGAAGGAAGAATTGCCACTAAAACTGGAAGACTGCCTTTGAAAGGCTCCCTCCAGCATCTTACTTGCACTGTGCACTTTTAGAAGTTATCTACCTCCTATAGTTCACAATCTGTAAGCAGGAAGGCCAGAAAACAAGTGTTGTATTGCTTGTTTTACCCGTTGTTGTTCTTGTTTCTTTATTATTACAAGCACGCCTTGATGTGGGGTCTTAGAGCCATCCTTTGAGCTTGGGACATGCTTTGTAGAGAATGCAAGGCTCACCTGCCCTCAAACAGCAGCTGTGCAGTTTGCAAGGTCTCCTTAGCTCGGACACGAACTTGCCACGAGAGTGGCCTCCTTGCTGTGCCCATGGCCGGAGTGTCCTGCGATGACCGCGTGGTTTTGTCACAGGAGAGGCGCTGGAATTGATACCCGAGTCAGCTGATGGTGTGACACCCGTGGCATGAAGTGCTGAAGAGAAAGCCGCAAGCAGCACTGCCTGTCACAGCACCAGTGTTTTCACACGTTGTTTGTGTGAAACACTTTGTCTGTAGTGAGGAGTGTGTGGGCACCTGAGGCCTGAGAGTGGCTTGGGACGAGAGCAGGTACCAGCGTGTGGTAGGTACCATGGGTAGGTRCCTCAGGGTGCACAGCCAGAGCCACTATCCTGGCTCTGAGCAGATACTCACCTCGCCCCTCGGCCTATCCTGGACATGCAGCACGTAACTAGTGTGTAACTAGCACATAACTAGCAAGTTACGTGCTGATCACTTGCTGGTGTGTTCTCCCACCTGCCAAGGAGCTGCTGTTCAGGGACTCTCTGAGCTGATTGTGGTTCTGCAGATTTCTTGACTGTGCAAGCCTGGCCACCTTGACTTCACATGGACTTCACATGGATCTAATTTGTTATGTATTTATTTATTGAGGGGTGAGGGTCTAGCTACCTGTGGCCTAATGCTGGTTTGGAGACTTCAGGTAGCCTTGAAGTACAAATAACAAACTGCTGTCATTCCAATAATGTTCTCTTTGCAAGAAATTCAGTGCATGGGGTGGCATTTGSTCTGGGATTGTGTCAGGGAAAGACCAAAAGGATCCAAGGTTGTGCTTGCTGGATGCATGTTTGAGGATTGCATACAAACAAATGAGTTATTTCTTAATTGGGATTCTGCCCAAAACAATCCAAGCAGCCTTTCCTTTGGCAGCGATTGGAACTGGCTGCTGCAGCCCTGGAGGGCAGGGAGCAGCCAGGAGAGGACAGAGAAGGCAGGTTGGCTGCTCCAGGTGGCCAGGGCAGCCCCTGCTGCCAGAGTCTCTGTCTGGGGGCCTGGGGTTGCTCGTGGCCCTGGCCTTTCCTTGAGGAAAGGCTGTGAGTCCTAGCAGGGCTGGAAATGGGAGCTGCTACCTTAAGTGGTGAAAATCTTCCACAACATTCGGTTTTCTGTCTGTCTCTCTTTGCTGCTTTCTGTACTCATCTATTTTTTTGCTGTTTTGTTTTGTTTTTTTTCACGTAACTGAGTTGCTGTCATTTGTTCCTTGAGATAATGTGAAACGATCACTGTAGTGAGAGCAACTGAGCAACTGCCTGTATTGGTAGCAGTCAGTTCAGAACGCCTTTATCAGAGGTAAAACCCATCTTGGYCACACACAATCTGCCTGGGTGTGGGGCAGGTAGAGTGCACGGGTGCCCACATAACCCCACGAATGGGGGGCACTGAAGTGGCTCTTCCCTCAGGATGGGAGGGAGCAACTCGATGTCCCTCTGTGCTTCCAGTTATGTGATGTGGCTTTGGAGCGACCTGATTGAAATCCTAATGTGAGAAGATGTAATGATCTTTTCCTACTTCAGCTGTATCACACTGCTTCAAGACAGGTGGATTCTCCTGTCAGGTGTTAGGTTTTTAAACCACTTCTGTTTCTAATGTGTTCCCACTGGAAGACTGTCTGAAAGCAAAAGCCAGGATACTGTGTCAGAGACCCCAGAGGAAACCAGTGCACTGAGCTTCCATTTCAGCAGACTGCAGAAGAAGTGTGCCTGGAATRAGTGCTGCAGCGCCAGAATCAAGATCATAGCAGAGGTGTTAAAAAAAATCGTAGCCACAACTGCAGTGTGGGGCGCACGGCGCCTCTCGGCAGCCTGGCACCGCAGCCGGCGCAGCCTGCGGCTGCTTTGCCRGGGCTGCTTCTTTCTCCCGTGACTCACCACGTCCTGCCCTGACCTAATTACAACTTGCATTCGTCAGCACAGCCCGGAGGGCAAACTCATGGGCAGCACCATGGAGGCGTTTGCTGCCCCGGGCTGGGGAGGGCAGCGCCTCTCGGCAGCCTCCTGGCTGCCGGGGTCGTGGTTTTGCTCGTCACACAGGCTCCAAGGTAAAGCACATCCCTCCCTAGCTTTGTTTTTAGGGCTGCAGCAGCATTTCATCATGGGAAGGACAAGAGCCCTTGCCTAGTAAAGGGAGGATTGCCTAAGCAGTTGTTTTCTGAGGGAAAAAAAGTGACATTGGTTGTCACTGGTGGCAATAGGCTCAGGGGAGATGTGGCAGAAAGGCCTGGGTGTTAGTAGGAACAAAAGGAACATGCAGAGGAACAACAGTTATTGCTAAGTTGATTTGAACAGCTCAAAATCAGTATTTCAAAGCTGCAATCCAAGGGACCTTTAAAGCCCTCCTGCTCCTCTCCAGCCTCCCTCTCCTTTCCTTTCCCCATTCCAGCCTCTGCCTGTGCTCTGTTCTCTGCAATGCCTAATGCTGTCGGCCTCGCTCCGCGCGGCTCCCTGCCCACCTTTCTGCCTCCTGCCTGCAAAGTGGGAAGGCCCAGGGTGGGAAGCTGTGGGGGACACAGGGGAGGAAAAGGGCATAAGGAGCCACAACTCTGCGGTATTGGGAAGTGAGTTCTGGGAAGGAAGGCTGCCGTACTTTTATTCTTCAACTGTACTGCGAAGACTGTGTGGGAGGCAGAGTGAGCGAGTTCGAGTTTCAGGAAATACTGCTGAGTGTGGAGAGGCCAGGTGTGACATAGCTCTTGTGCTGAAATAAAGTCTAGGCATCTGGCAACGTGGGCTCCATTTTCCGAGGTGTGATAGACAGCTCGGTATGGGAGACTGAGACCTCATGTTTGATGGGGAAGCAGATGAATATGCTGTTTTATCACAGAAATTTTACAGCAATGCTGAAGAAGTAAAAGGAATGTGGAGGCCTTTTCCAGCATGGAAAAAATACAAAAAAGGGGCAATAAAGAAAAAAACTCACAAAGATCAGATTGAAATCTGTACATTTTTAATCCAAGAATTCTCATCAGATAAATGAGCTGAACTAAAATCTGTGATGTCTTTCAAACGAAACTCATAAAAACTTTGGTTAACAAATGCCTCTCATGGAAAACCATCAGACCAGAGGTTTGAGTAAGTGTTTCCAGCCTCCGTGGGGTCATGAGATCCAAGTCAGCTTTATGTCATGAGGAAAGGTGATTTACAGCCTTACCGCTACCTACTGAAGATCTTCTGCACAGGTAATTGAGTTACCTGCTTTGCCTTAGGATCAGCTCTGATTCCTAGGAAAAGTAGGAAACACTAAAATGTTATGATTAAGATACATTGCCCTGAAGCAGATCATGTGCCTTTACTAATGGGGCTCTGTGTCCCCCTTTCATGAGCACTAGTTTCTCTGTATTAAAAGGAAAAAAAAATAAAGAAGCTGCAAAGAGTTGCCAGATTCTCTAGGTGGTTTTATAGCGGATACATGGTTGTTGCTTCTGCATTATTTGTAAAAGTTTTAGAGCCTTCATCTTCAGTGGTTTGCCCCTGTCTAACACTAACTTGCCCTCTGATGCATCTTGACTTTTTAATAATTTTCTGGAAATTCTTCCTGAACTTCACCCCAATGAAGAAATACAGAACAGGGTTGAGGCAGCCATGGAAATAAGCCAAAGCTTCTGTTATGACTATTGCATACTCAAAGCTGCGGTTCAAGTTAAAGCTCCAGTCTGCAATCTTTATCAGTCTCAAGAAAGTATAGGGTGTCTGAGTAAGAATAAATGTGGCAACTACAGAAAATATTTTTTTCAGAGATTTGTGCTTCTGAAAACTCCTGGCGTGCAGTAACGTTTTGATGATTAGTGAGTAGCAGATGGTCATGGTTAGCATGGGGATAAAGTAGCCAAGAGCCACTTGGATTGCTTCAAGAASCACTTCTGTGCGATGGTTTGGGTATTTTTCCTGACATATTGCCTTATCGATCTGAAATGCCTCACTAAAAATGAACTGTGGTGTGGCAAAAGCTAGCGAAATCACCCAGATCAAGATGCAGATGATTTTGCCCCACGTCTTTCGTTTGCTTTGACGCTGACGTGCTTTGGTGGCAAAAGTAATAGCAACGAGCCGATCAAAWGTTATGCAGGTTAGGGTTAACATTGATGTGTACAAATTCAGATTATACAAGCCCCGTATAATACGACATGCCACRGTGCCAAAAGCCCACTCCTGAGCAGCAGAGTATGCCCAGAATGGCAGGGTCCAAAGAAAGACCAAGTCAGCTGTAGCCAAGTTCAGCAGATATATGTCTGTCAGCGTCTTCAGTTTCTCGTAGAAAACTAGTATGATAAAGACCAAAGTATTTCCTGCCAGCCCCAAGATAAAAACGCATGAATACATACAGGGCAGAAAGATTCTTGTAAATGTGTAAAAATTGTCATTTCCAGTTTCATTGAGATCAAAGGCTGAGAAGTTATAAAAGTCATCAGCATCTGTAGTTGTCATGTTGCCTTCCTTTTAAAGGCAGCAGTCTGTAAAGAGACATGTTTATGATTTATTTATTTATTACTTGGCAGGTGATTAAAACCTAGTGCACCCCAGAAATAGACAGCAAGTGACAGCAAATGAGAGATGCAGTAAAACAGCCACAACAGATAAACAAAAGCAAACATATATCTACTGGAACAAGCATCTTGACAATGAAGACCCAAACACAACAGCTGTTGCATTTAAGCACATCGTTTCTTAACAAACACACACTAATGGGGACTCAGAAGTATAAACAAAAAAATGACAGAGACTTCTGAGAACAAGAATTATGGGTTAAGCTTTCAACTACAGCACTCTTCTAGAGTGTTTGGACCAAGGGATTTGGGATAAAGCCATAAAAATAAGTTTCATTTTGCAAAATTTAGTCTAGTGGCTCAAATTTCAGACACCCTAAGCCTCTGATGTTGTTTGTTGTTGAGCTTGGGTAAGACCTGTCTCCAGAAGTGGTGCTTGAATTGTAGTATGGGTTCTTTTGGGGGCTTGTGTTTCACCCCAAGCTGGTTACAYAGATGATAGTTGCATCATCAGTTGGTGACACTTCCTCCTGGCCCCTTCTCAAGGGACTTACTGGAAACCTGGAGGATCCTCATGAATGACTCTTCCCTATTTGATCTGAAATAGGTACCTCAGATGTTTGCGCTATTGTCATGGAAGCAGCCCCTTCTGCCTCAAATCCTCTCTATCAGTCACACCATTTCTCTTGTGTTGATACAGCAAAACCATGAAGGCTCCAAGGCAAAGAGCCTGTTCACTGCTGCTGTTGCTAACAGACAGAGCAATAACAATCAGTTTTGCAAATAAAGGGTCTGACTAAGTGTCAGTGTTGTTATTCGTAGGATTAGAGTGCCTTTTTTTTGGCAATTTTGCATTAGCTGGAAGCTTGGCAAAATTTTATCATAAATTATTTTTGTAGCAGAAGTTCATTATTCATTATTTGYTTTTTCCAAAATCAGTTTAGTCATATGCTTGCAAGGCAGCAACTATGAAAACCAGAATGCCAGGCCACAGTGAAACACCACAAAAGGGGATGGTGCCAGCATGGGTACGTGCAGAATTGTCAGGCTCTCGCCAAGTTAAATCCTCTTCTTCTCTTTRCTTCTGGGACTGCCTATGAAAGTGCATTTTGCAGTATAGCTTTGCAGTATGGCTGCGCTAGCTGAATCATTTGTAGTCCCTGATGTTAGCAACCTTACAAATGGAATCTTTCGCACGACAGTTTCTTGAAGTTTTAAAATATTTAGCCTAATGTCAGATGCCTTCTCTCTCGAACCACATATTTCCGTGAGACTAACCCAGCTGCAAGATATTACTCAGCATAAGATTAGCAGAATTCAGCCCCRAATCATTTGCTCTCTTGGATGGGCTGAAAGGCCTCTCCTGTATGAGTTGTGATGCACAGCAGAATGTTACCAGAAGCAGTAGTTTAAGCTGTGGGGCCAAGAAACAGAGTGAARCCTATTAGTCACCGGAGGAGTGCCATAAAGCTGTGTGCCCTTTTGAAAAGTTGCTGTCCTTTTATAAAAACTTCTAGTTTTCAGTTCAAATGACAGCCAACCACAGGATTGAGCCAACCAGCAGAAGAAAGTTAGGCTTAACAAGGTGAAGGTAACATATACTGAAACAGAGAAGAGCTTTAYTCAGTTTATGTACTATGTGCAACAGTAGTCAGCTGGTACTTACCTCTTTTGGGGGAAGAAAGATGCTTTCCTCTGAGCTGAAACAAAGTAATTCAYCATGTACTCAGTTAAGTAGTTTAGCACCCTAACACTGCCTAGTAACCTTGCCAAAATAATACAGTTATTTCTTGTATCTAAGCTTCCTGAAAATTAGGAGAATCTTCTTGACTCATTTAAAAGAAGTATTTTAATATCTGCTTTCAGTTTGCAATAGTTTGTTGTTGCTGGTTTTTGACTGGTTGTTTTTGCTGTAATAAGATGCAGCATTCAGCATGTGGACAGTTGAAGATATGTAAAACCTAATGAACTTAATTTCGTGCTGCATTAATGGTCTTTGTAGGATTTTTCACATTCAGGCAGTAATATCCTAATAAGGGTTTGGTAAAAGCCAGTGGGAGTTTTAGTACTGATGTAATGTGGAGGCCAGGCTAGGATAGCTGTGATGTGAAAGATGCAAATTTGAAAGATTTTTGCTTATATACAAATGATGGGCAATGGCTTTTGATATTCTGGTTTCCCGCACACACTCCCTTTGTAGTGATATGAGCAGATCTATATATAGATGGAGAACAGATACTGTGGAAAAGATCTTTTACTGCTAATATATATATATATATATATATATATTTTAAATGCCACGCTCTTTACATTTTTCAGTTGGACTCTAAAACTCAGGATGTATGAATCATGTTCTGCCAGGGAGGCTAGATGACTGACACCACTGAACAGATAGCAAAGGATTAAAGGGAATCCCTGCATGGGAAGGTTTACCTGAAAATTTAAAAAAAACATTGCTGTCATTTTCTGAATAGGCTCTAAGGGCCTTGGTGTTCTTTCTTTTCCATGTTATTCCTGTCTGGATGTAAGCATTTAAGTTCCTTCTCCTTCAGGAAAAATGTGTCTGGAATGCCTGGCAGATTATGATACCCTCCACTAAAACCAAACCAAACCAAAGAACAAAAGYCCTGAGTGCATTTAGAGTCCTTCAGTAAGGCTTCCCTATAGGCTAATTCTTTGTTACAAGGCTGAGCTGTTTCTAGACCAGTTCAGCACCGCTGCCAAGTATTTTCAAGCTTTGCTCTTGAAAATGTGCTGCGAGGATGTATAAGCTGGTATTGAAATGAAAAATGACAGAGCAGATCCTTACCTTGCGTAGACCAGCCTATCCAGTCCAGTAAGCTTCTTTTTTCCTTTTTTTTTTTTCAGTAGATGGTAACTTGTAAGAGAAAGAAAGACTAATTATTTATGGGCGGAAAAAAAAAGAGAAAATAAAAAGCTTTGATTTATTCAGGATGCTTTGTTATTATCATGGCTGATATTTTTTGTAGGCAGAAATGCTTAAGTAGTAGTACCTGTTACTTACACTTAAGTTTGAATCCACATTATATGTTGTCTCAAACTTCAGAATTGCTATGTCTTGTTAATGGTGATGTTCCAGTTTTCCCCTGAAAACAGTAGCAATATTTCTTTCTGAAATGAAATAGTGCATAAAAGCCTCATATTAGATAGATAGGGAGAGAGGGGTAAAATTCCCTGGTCCTGAGGGCAGTGAGCAGGATGAGTTTATTTGCAGGGAAATATTGTTGCAATCCRTTTGGACAGTAAAGTAAGTGCAAGCATAGTAAACGGAGGAAGTGAATGAAGGAAGCTCTGAAATTGTAATTTGTCRTGGAGAGTCAGAACATGATTGTCCCTGGCATAGGTAGCTCTAGTGCTGTCAGCAGATGAAGGCTAATGAGCATTTCCACCACTCCCGGCATTTGAAGTACCTGGCTCCTGAGTGAGCCAGGAGCATATAGCTCATGTAGGTTCACTGTWAATGGAGCTTTTTGCCTTTTGGTTGCCGTGATCTGATTTTTCTTATGCTGGTTGGCTATCCTGTGTTAGTAGYCATGTCTGAAAAGCAGGGTGTAAAAAACAATAATGATCCTGCCGGTTTATTCTTTGTTGATTGTTTTTTTGTTGTTTGTTTTCCAAGGAATTCCAAACAGAATAGCCAATATAGACCACTCTTTTTATATATATAAATCAAAATAAAATATTACTTTATATAATTATTATTCATATAATAATGTATTATTTATATAATTTATTTATAATATTTTATTATTTATATAATAAAATAGCTATAATTTTATATTTATAAAATGCTATAAATAATAATATTGATATATTAATATATAAATATGTATAATGCATATACTATAATATATGACATAAAATAATTATTATATGTAGTTATTTATATGATGATGTAATTATACTATTTATRTAACAATAATAAGCAACAGAATGATTTGCTATGACTATAAACATAGGCTATAAAGAGAGAAATGGTTAAATAGTGCTTGTCAGCATTGTGTGATATTCCTTGCCTAGAAATCATCCATTTTCAYGGGAATGGGTTTTGAAGAATTTAATCAGAGAAGGAGAAATTGTCTCAGATATATAATTGTTGGAAGAGAGAAGATATTTTCAAGTAAATACCAGATGGAAAAACAGATTATTGAGCATAAAGAGAAAAGAGGAGATAATTAACTTCTAAGTTCCAGATATTCCCAAAATTCCTCTAAAGRACTAACAAGTGTAAATCAAAGAACTCCTGTAGTACCAGGACATCTAGAAGGACCTAATAACAAAGTTAATGGCAAACACAGCATCTTCACTAGTTTGAACAAAAAAGGTGCTCTCTATTAATTTTTTCACCTCAATGCTAGCAAAATCTTTAAAGTTTGAGTGTTTTTAAATTTAAAATCWTTTTTGTTACCCTCTACCTTTTCTCTTAAAGTTAAGAAAACCGACACTTACTAGCTGATGTCTCACCTTTGGGGAATGCAGCATCTGTGCTTCAGAGGAAACCTGAAAGCAGCAGTTTGATTTGTTTATCTGTGCTGTTTCATCACAGCTCTTGCACTTCTTGAGCAAAACAGCTTGAAATAGAATTACTCATGTTTTGGTACATGCTCTTGAGTGATACTGCTGCAAAAAYGATAGTACAAATAAGTCGTGCCCCCCTGATACGGTGGAAAATATCTGTTTCGCTTGCACGTTTCCATCTTATTGAAATTACCTGAGTCAGATAGATTTTTTTGAGAAATTATTTGCAGAATTAAGAAATAATCTATATCTACTACTTTTTTTCAAACCACTCATACATGTTTTGTGACAGCTATTGCAGACTACTACTTTTTTTCTATTTTTTCCCCACCTCTTCTGTTTGTTTTGATATTTAAAAATATTTTACTAGCATTTTTTTCTCTCATGTTTATTTTTCTCATGCTTTATTGAAAGATTTCCTAGGTTTCTTAATAAGCGGTGCTTGCCCCAAGTGAGCCTCACTGCTCATGATACGTGTGGGAGAACCTTCTTCAGGAGCAGGGCAGGGGAAATAAATAGGAGCCTTTTCAATGTACAGATTAGCTGAGGAAATAAATAGGAGCCTTTTTAATGTACAGATTGGCAAAGGAGGCTGGCAGTGCTCAGCGCAACTAGCCCTTGCATCTTTGCAGAGGCCGATGACAGTCGTTCAAGCGGGGCTTGATCCCGCAGAGCCATATGCTTGCAGACGAACCTCCAAGGGCTTGATGCCAGCAAACGTGCATAAAAAGCAAGCGACAAAGCGGTTGTAGTCTCCCAGGAGTTGTTTTCACACGCAGGACAGGGCTAAGCGACGTGGTGGCAGCTGTGCCCTGTGGYGGTGTCACCATCGCGGGCTGCTACGGGGAAGCGGGAGGGTCGGCCATGTTGCGCAGGGGCGGCCATAGGTCCTTCCTGCCACCCAGGCCCACTGACACACCTTCAAAACAGAAAGTGTGTGGGGTCCCTTTGGAAATGCCTTAATCGGGCACTCAGGGAGACAGGATGTGAGCTGATCCGGCAACCCAGCCCACAGTAAGCACGCTGAGGYGCCGCTCTCCAGGTAAAATGCGTGGGAGAGGTGAGGGCTGCAGCCCTGCATGGCCGCCCACTTGCTGCTCTGGGAGACCCTCGCGGGACACCCCAGCGCGAGTGACACAGCAGTGACCCGCAGGCCGCTCAGCAGGCCTGGAGCYGAGGGAGCCTCTCAGGGAGGAGAGCAGAAGCGGCTGCTGCAGGGGGCCCTTTGCCGTGATCAGCCTTGAGCCGGGGGGTCGCGGAGCCCCCTCGCAGCAGCCGCCCCGGGACAGGGCAGCCCCCGGCAGAGGTCCCGGCTGGACAGGGAGACGGGCAAGGGGGGAATTCAGAGGGATTGCGGATAGAGATGCACCCGGGGCTGCCCTTCACCTGCAGCAGCACCATGTCTAAGCTCTGGGGCAGCCGCTTAATCCCGTTCCCAGAGCTGATTCTGGTGTTTTTTGTCTATTTGCTGCCTCCTGCTGGGGAAGGGAATCGGAGGCACCCTGGTAGAACCACCCCAGTTCCTTGTTCTGAAACCTCTTCCACCTCTGGWGGCTGCTGCATCCGGCACCTCAAAGCTGCCTTCATCTCGGTGCCTTCCTAAACCTCTTCCATAATCACACTGCCTGCTAAAAAAATCTCGAAGAATTTTGCAGGTTGGCRTTTGGTGCATAGAGATCCTCTCTGGTGACTGCTTTTTTCCTGAGCTTTCTCCATACAAACCAGCTGCCAATGGCCTTACAGATAAATTGCAGGCAATTTTAAGGACAGGGATAGCCTTTTGGTTTGTCTGCACATAATGTAGTACAATGTGATATAGTATACAGGGGTGAGGAGGAGGAGGGTAACTAATTTCAGGTATCTGGGCTGGTAACAGGAGGATCCAAGGTAACATTAATCCATTCCAGCATAACTCCTTTGCCCCCTCCTTGTCATTAGACACACAGCAGCCTCTCATGCTGCTCATCGTGCTCCCCAGGCTGCCAGCTATTGTGAACAGCTTGTACAGGCATAAATCTGCCTCTCAGCTGGACTCAGGAGCTCCAGTTAAATCATCAGGCTCCTCCTTGTGTTTCTGGTTTCTGGTTTATACCAGAACACTGGTTTATACCATCTGAATGGAATATTACAGAGAGCAGGAGGATTTGCCCTATGATTGTAATGCTCTTGGATTTAAGAGACTAAGTAGGGACTTTGTATTCCCTTAGCCTAGAATGAGGAGGTGCATTGAATTAGCTGGTTAGGGCAGCAAGTGGCAAACTGAGGGGGAASTTAGGCATAGGAATGTGTTTGTTGGGCTGCAGCAGCAGGAATAAAAAAAATCCTTGTGTTAGAGCAGAGTATGGACCCAGTTGGTCCTGCGATTTAATTTACATTTCAAGGTCCCAAAAGAAAGGTGAGATTGATAGAGTAATTATAGAACTAATAGAATTGTGTAATCAATCATGGAGTTTGTCTCTTCGCTACAGTTTTGTAGTTCTCTTGGTCTGTATGAATTCAAGGCTGTGAAATTAACGCTGTATAGCAAACATGACAGAAGAGTTTTGTGATCACAGCATGAAGTCTCTGTCACAGTTCACACTGAGTATGCAAACAAAACATGCAGTTTTACAGGCCATATTTTATGAGTCTTTTTTATGTAGTTCTGTAAGGGTAAATAGGTAATTAAATTATTTGTATCGCTTCCTAAATATTTGCATAAATGTTCTGTTAATCACCAGTTATGTACAAACAGGCCTTATGGCTGTACACAATCTTAAAGGTCTTTTCCAATCGTAATAATTCTATGATTCTATACACTGTCTCATCCCAGCATTTCACTGGACAGGGAATGTTTGATTGTGGGCTCTCAGTCACAGATTTGTGCCTGCCTTGTGGCTCACAGAGCTTAGGGCATTAACAACAGTGGTAAGACTTTGCAGAAGTCAAAAGTTGTCCAAGAAGCTGCAGGAGTAAGAGAACATGAAATCCGCAGATATTAATGCTTCTGTGTTCAGGAAGCATGCACAGACAGTGGGTGTTCATGGTTTTTGTGTGGTCAGAGCAGTAAATCCTGGTTGAAACCAGGAAGGTTTCAACCAAAACTGTTACCCTACGAAACCTGCCCATGTCTATGTGTACTGACACAGCGTGTTCAGGCTCTATTAATGTCCAGCAGAACATTTACATGGCTCTTTACATGGATGTGGTTTCTCACACTCTTCTATTCAGCAGTGCTGTTTGTAAAGCAAGGACCTTTAGAATTTTAAAGAAATGATGAACTTTGCATTGGTTTTGAGAGTCCATCTACAGAATGCTTAAGAGTTATTCCTTTGCTATATGAGGGTTGCTGCTCGGTGGGTCAAAAGCACGTATWAGTGATAATCAGTTTTTTTTAGATCCCACTGGCTTTTGGAAGTAACTAACTGGTTTGTTCCCTGTATGTTTGTTTCCCAAGAATCCTTGTTTTTTTTCCTTTTTCCTTATTGTCTCAGTTATCAATGTGCTGAGAAGAAGAGCTATCAAGTGAATGTGAGAGAAGCACAAGCTTGCTTGGAAACTCTCAGCATTTGTTCCCTAACTTTCAGACTCATCTCCCCTCTCTGCAGCCTACCTCTGTGTACCAGTGCTGTAATTCATAGTTGGGGCCACTCCACTGCGCCCCAGAGCTTTCTCTGGGTCAGGGAGGGGATGGGAGGCTCTTCCATTTCTTCTTTCGGGAGGAGGTGCGTGACTTTCTCATCCTGCAACAGTTTCTGCAATGGACTCCTATTTGAATCATCCAGTATTTATTGTGTGAATGGAAGATACATGGAGAGGTTCTACTGCCATAATATCTGTTTTGAGTACCACTGTCAAAATAAGGAACTGGGCAGTATATTTGTAAAACACCTCATAAATCAAACCCAGCAGTAGTGTCACATCCCTGTGTGGATTTTTTGTTAGAGAAGAGTCCAAGCTGTTTTTCTTGTGTCTGCCTTCAATCAAGATTTCTGCCTGTCAGGGAAGCTTTTAAGATCTGGCAGCATCACAATAGGAAATTAATAGCAAGACTATTGACGAGATGCCCTTGTTGTAGGTATTCTCTGCTCATGAAACCAGGATAGTTAGCAGAACAGAACTGCAGTTTTGTTGGGGGCAATTTTGTCACTAGAATACACAAAATAAAAATTCTAGCACATGAAATTGTAGCTACCAAAACTTTTCTATCTTGGATAGAAATCAGCAAGCAGACAATATTTGATTCTGTGCTACTCAGAGAATAACAGCTTTCATTTTCTCTCTCCTAGAAACARCACAGGTAATTCTTCAACCTATGATGAATCAGAAGAGTGGCCAGTAGCTCAAGATGCTGAGATCTGCTTGTTGAAGTCAGGAGAAATCATGTAAGCAGAACAGTTTCATCACTATAAGGCTGAAAGAATGAAGGCTGAAGGCAGATATCAGCTGTGTGAGCACAAGTCTTGCAGACTCCCACGAGAGCTGATTGCTTGTGTCTGAAGGTAGAATTTGGTCTGAGACGCAGCAGACAGCCCAGCTCAGCTAAGCTGAGCAGCAGCAGTTAGCCAAGTCCTCGCTCTTCACTTCAGTAAAACTGTTGTGCAAGTGGGGAAAAGAAATAAAAAAATAAAAAAGAGAAAGATTAGTATCCTCAATCAAAAAAAAAAAAAAAAAAAAAAGAAAAAAGAAAATGGAGAGATTTTGAATCAGAAGAACTTCCTTCCTGTGGTTATTGCAGGAGGTGCCATGAACGGGAAGAAACTTGGGAAGAGATCTCTGGACTTCTGGTGATCTCTGCAAGCATCTGCAAGGGGAAGTTAGATATTGTAGTGCTAGTTGACCCTCTGTGCTGGGGAGGGAGTTCAAGGCCTGTTATTTATTGGTGGCCCTCACAGAAACTSCCTGCATCAAATGTTCAGCTGAGCCTCAGCACAGTGTCTGTGASCTGTGTGTGACCAATTCTCTGCATGTGAAAACTGCTCCAAAATTAGTAGTTGTGTGCAGCACATCACTTGCACAGCCACGAGGAGAACCTAATGCACCCAAATCCCCATAGCTCAGAGAAATTCACCTTTATCCCTCAGACTCAAATTTGAATATTTGGCTTATTGTGGGAAGATGTTAAGCTTTTGCCTGCAAAAAGTAGGCAAAATGCAATAGGGCAAAAACAGGAGTGATCATTAGTTTACTAAAGCCAAAGGCCACCTGAGACATGATAATAGTCATTTCACTTAAGAAGGAAAACTAATGAGATAGTAAAACTTCATATAAAGCTTCCTCTATGGACAGACTACAGTAATTACCATAGTAGCTCAACTTTATTCCCTAGGAACTGTGTAGTAACAGCTGGAAATGGAATTCTTTGTTCTAGAACAGAAAATCATCACACTAGCTGTGCATTAGCTTCTGGCAAATATGTTGATTTTTGATAGCTGCTGACAGGCATAGCACAGGACTGTGATTTACAGTGAGCTCATTGGGAAACAACTTATCTGCTCCACAGAGTGACATGATCTATCACTTTTAGTTTAGTGGGTAAGATCCTCCACTGTTAGCAATTGCAGGTCTCCCCTGGGGGAGATGATTCTCCCTCCTGTTTAAGCAGCTCATTGCAGTCTGAAATACATCATCCAAATGTGGTAGGCTAATAAAATGCTGTGGCACCCGAGAGTGCACTGAGATCTTCCTTTCTGCCTGGAGGTTATTTGAGTCAGCTTTTGTGCAGTCTGAGCTGCAGCATTCAGTGCTCCCCCAAATCTAGAGAGCTGTTCACATTCAGCCCATCTATCCCCTTTTCCCTCTGCTCCCTATTTTTGCAGGAAGGTAGCTGAAAGGCAAGTAAATTAGGTGACAGCAGTTTGTTTTTAAAAAGAACAACAGAGGGCAGCACTTCCTTTGTTATCCTGGTAACTCATGATTTAAAAAGCTTAGTTCAAGAACCAGTTTTTTTTTTCTGGTCAAAATGGAATAAATGAGTGACTAAAGTCCACATTTGCCAGAGTAGAGAAGTGCTTAATATGTTATCTTCTCTGTGGTTCCTGCTTTCATCAGAAGGCTCAGTTTTGCTGCATCTTGTGGCCTTGCCACAAAGTCATCATGGAATCTGCTTGACAGAGACAGAAAACAAAAGGCAGTGTTTATTGTGTCTGTCTGAATAATTAGGTTGGATCTCTTAAATTAATTGCATTTTTCTCCCTYACAGGATAAAGCTGCCCCTTACAGTGGAAGACATCCTGAATTTCGGGGAAGGCAACAGAGAGCTGTTCATTAAATCCAGCACGTACAGTATCATTCCCATCACCGTGACGGAGACAGGCCTGACTATAAGCTGGATATTTTCATCAGACCCGAAAAGCGTCTCCTTCAGTGTGGTTTACCAGGAATCGGAAGAAGTGCCTCTGGATCAGTGCAAAGTAAGGCCTTTATTTCCCATTTTTTTTTCTTTCTTTCCTTACAACTCAGGTAACTGTAACATAGTGGAGTCGGCTGCCTTATGGAGTCAGTCAGCACAGCCTGCAGGTAGCCACAGGAGKTCCAGGTGCTCTTGCTTTTTAGGAGGTTGTTTTGCCAGATATTCTACAATTCTCCTGAATGCAGAGGTACATTTAATTATTTAATGTCATCTGCGAAAGTTGAGTTGAAAAGCATTGCAGCTTCAGTTGTTCACAACTGAAATTCCCTAACCATTACTAAAATAAACGTCCAAGCCTGCAAAAATCTTCCCCCCACACCAATATTACCTATTTTGCAAGTTCCTTAAGGCTGATCTCATTAGGCTCTTCACCAGAGGCCACAAGGAAAGAGATGAATTGATTAAGTTATATATGGGGGGGGGGTGCATATATATATATATATATATATGCTTACCTTTTTCACAGATAAACACATACTTAAGTGCTTTGATGGTGGCCTACACGTTGCAAAATCACCCTGCCAGTTCCCAGGGCACCTTTTTTTATCATTTATTTTCATTACCTGTATTTCATGAGGCTTGTGCCTTACATGAGTTTGCACTATTCAGCTCACTGTGAAGTTTTAGTGAAAACAGGGCAGCTGTTGGTTCAATCTACCATGTTAGGGAGTGCTCTAATGCTGTGATTTCACTTAGGGAAGAAGGTCACGGATACAGCGTGAGTTCATTCACTGCAATCACCTGCAATTTTGTGYAAAATCTCTTTTCTGTTCCTGTGAAGGCCTAATGCAGGCTGATTAGACTGGTTTGATACATTTATTTGACAGTTTGGCTTGTACAGAATTGACCTTGATCCATGTCAGCTGTTGTGCTGAGGTGAAAATCACCAATAGACTTTTGCAAGTTAACCACCTTGTTGTGCTATAAATTTAGATAAACAGCCAAGATTTGCTGAGCAAGCTTGTTTTTATACTACTAGGGGTATAAAAGGATGTTGTAAATGACATACTTAGCTAGATTCTGTTCTTGGGTATACTTACATAGAGATAATGTAGCACTGCTGATGTTAGTAAATTCGCATTGATAAATGGTATTAAAAAAGGTCAGGGTTGTTTTCTTTCTCAAAAGATGAGATTTATAGCCAGAGCTTAATGTCAGAAAAAGGTAGTCGAAGGAAAATGGATGTCATGCTTTGAGATMTTAGTTTAGGTGGATTTTTAAAGCTAATCAGTAAAAATAAATACAATTTTGAAGGCCTTTATACACTTTGGGATTTTCAAGATGTCTCAGATTTAAATATTTTTTYCCCCAAACGTAAATGTCAACTTCTAGAGCAAGCACTGACTTTCATTTTGATTTGTATTTAATTCCAGGTTCTTATTCCTATGACACGCTGCAACTCACATAAGGAAACTATAAGAGGCCAGGTGAAAGTGAGAAATTCTGGCATCTACATGCTCATCTTTGACAATACATTTTCTAGGTAGGTCCTAACTGAGTCTGACAGTTGAAATAGATTTTGTTTTACGGATTGTGGCATTAATGGGATATACTGTTACTTTTACTGATATGAAATGTGATAATTGGTTCCAGCTTGCCTAAAGAACTGCTGCCTGGCTTTGTACTTTTGTCATTCCCGCCACATAGCAGAATTCCACTTTTCAGTCTTGACCTCTGAGAAAGTGAACAGCATAAGCAAATAATTTACAACTSTTTTGAAGTCAGATTAGTCAGGATTGTCATTTTATAAACAGCAGGCCTGACAGCTGTCCTGCAGACAAAACATTTTTTTCAGCTACAAGTGGGGGTTTTGCCTGAATGTAAATTGAAAATTGGAGGCACTGTTAAGGCTTTCTGACCAGCTGACATSATCTAACATGTTCATCTCATCCTCTTTTTTCTTTCTCTACAGATTTATCTCAAAAAGAGTATTTTATCACTTGACTGTCGAGCGACCTGTCATCTATGATGGAAGTGATTTTCCATAGCCTTGAAAATACTGTGTTATTTTTAACTATATTTTTAAGAAATGCTATTATTTATGTATATGCAAGCAATATGACTACCACTGTGTTTGAACACTTTGAAACTATGCAATAGTTATAACATACTTAGAGATCATGTACACACTAGGAGAAAGAAGCTGTTTTAGGAACACTAATGTTCTGTACTGTGTACAGATTGCTCAGAAGCCATGTTGCTTGGTTTAATAGGTCAGGTAATGTTTCAATTTGATTTTTCTTCAGGGGGGAGAAAAATAAAAGAGGCAACTCTAAATGGCAACTCAAATTCTGTATTCAAAACTGAACAACCTTTCTTCTCCCCCCAAAAAATTCAAAAGCAGACTTAAAGAAAAGTGCTTATTTTTATTGACCTCTAGTGGAGAATAAACACACCTATTTCTGTTCTGCTCATAGTGTCAGAACAGCTATGCAATGCATCAATCTTTGTAGGCATGTATTCTAATCCATCTAGAATTTTATATCTTTTTCAGGTTTTATAAACAGCAAATGTAGAGAGTTTTTTCACATTTTGGGCTAAGATTCCATAAGTCTTAACTGGCTTTTAGCAATGCTCTGGTACTGCATCCCAATTACAAAGCTCTCAAACACAAAGCACCGACTCCTTCCACTTCTGCTCACCGTTCTCTGTAAGCTGATGCACTGAAGTCAGCGCTTAAGGTGAGCACCGGTGGCAGAATCCGGAGTATAATCTGCGGAATAAAGTACCGCTCACTGTGTGATTTTTGGGAAGAGGAGCATCTCTTTTTCCTGCTTTAGCACCTTAGTCATCAGCATTCACAGGGGAAGCACAGTCCATAAGCAGGGCTTCCTCTACACCAAGTGGAAAGTAGCAATAATATTTGGAATGGTCTCGAAAAGTCCATCCAAAACCAAATTCACATCCAGCCCCTCAGCAACTCACTATCCTGTGTCAGTGTATTTTGCCCATTTCCTTATCCTTGTTTTCATCTCAGCTTCTCAGTGTTTGCTGGGCCATAGCAAACTGCTAACTTTTCATCTTAAATCTGGGACAGAGCTGTCTGTAAACATACTGCCTGTTCGGGGAAGGAAGACTAGATTTTCATTTACATAAAACTTCCATGCAAATGGTCGGCTTTCTATAAAGAATTTCAACTTGTTGTCACAATATCTGAAAGCAGAAAACAGGGAGCTTCTGCAGCTGGGTTGTCCTGCCCATTGGTAACATTTTCTTCCCTTCAGATGCCTCTATATTTGCTCTATTTAAGTGTAAGCACTATATTTAGACTGTGCAGCCCCTGCCAAGCAGAGGAGTGYTCCCGAGGGGAGAGGGGCAGGACGCAACACACTTAAACCTCACCTGGCTGCCTGAGATGCACAAGAGACCGAGGTGGGCACCAAGCAACGCACTGATCACTTCATGAATTAAGGCATATTTCAATGTTGAAGCTATATTTTGTATTTAATTAATCAAGAAGAGGTTATTTATTGCTTAAAAATGGAATACTGTGTACCGTACGCTAAGCAATTTCACAGACTGTAACTGAAGTCTGCTGCAGTTTTCCTTAAGCTTTTAGGTGTGTTTTTTTTGAAAGCATTTTGCTGTTGTTTTAAATAGAATACTAATCTCACTAGGATATCTCTCTTAAAATGCCAAATGTAAGTTAAAGGGACACTGCCAAATGTATCAGGTCATAGTGTTACCCATCTGCTCAGATATGTTTCAATTATGTCTAATAATGTGTTTGGCAGAGTTGTCTCTGGGTTTCCTCTTTGCATCCTACTCTGAACATTTTTTGTTTCTTTTTTCTTTGCATCCTGTAGCAGATATTTTTAAGCTATTATTTATGTAATTCTTAAAGTAATTGGCTCTGACCTGTTCAGTAAGGGAGAGGGGACTAAAAACACCAAGTTCATTTTATTTAATCTTTGAGTCTTCAGAGTTTCTTCGTATTTTCTTCCTGTTTTCCTGCCCTCTGAGAAGAGTTCTATGGTTTCTTTGCTTTCTGAGAGAGGAAGAAGAGTGGAAGCGAACACTTGTAATTTAAAAATATATTGCTGTGTTATAAGTATTTGCTTCTAACCAAGGAGGAGAGTATATAAGAAGTTTCAAAAGAGGAAATATTTAACCTGGTAAAGCACAACAAGTGGACAAGAGTGCACGTGTTCACAGGAACTGTTCAAGGAGAACGGGAATCCCACTGTGTTGCCGGGAAGAGGGGCACTTTTCCACCTCAGAGACTGTGCCAAGAAGACAGTGAAGAACATGTTGTCATTTAACCTTCTCTTTGATCGTCCCAGACCTTTCATTAACAGTCATGGGAGCCTGACTTACTATGAGGACGGGTTCCTACAAGACCTGATCTCATTCAAGCACCTTATAGCCCGTTTGGAGGGAACTTGTGCACGTGAGATGTGCCAGTGACACTAACACAGTCGTTTGCCTGTAGATGTTCAGGGCCCTGCTGAGCCAGGCCCATTGTGAACGGAGCATCCCCAGCAGTGCAAGTGAGAGAAGAAATACTGGAAAGTGATCTTGAAATTAACTTAAGGGAGCAAAGAGTYGCTGTTGTGGATAGACAAGAAAACAGGTGTTTTTCCTGGGAGCTGGAAGAGTGGAGGGCAGTAATTTTTGTTAGATACAGGTTTCTGCAAAGGAAAGGGCATCATTGCTTTAGGAAAATGGCAGTGTTCCTTTAAATTCCTATGAACATGACTCCACATTGCTTTAGGAAAAATCACTGACATCTATTGCACAAGAGTTTACTGCATTACAGAGTAGCAAAGCTGCAAAAGGCTGATTTTCCTCCTTTTTAAATAAAAATTCAAATTGCACTATAGTTTTAATAAAGCTCACTCATTTATATACTGTAAGTTGTTCAGAAACATCTCTTGCTCTTACTTGCCAAAGGATTGCACAGCTTGTTCACATCAAACTTCACCTTCCAGAAGGGGGAGAAAAAGATTTACGTATGCCAGTGTTTGTACAGTTACAGGGACGGAGGCGCTTGTGTATGGGGATGTTTCTTGATGTTTTCTTTCCTTTTTTAACCTCAGGAATTAAATAAATAATAATCTATATCGTTAAGAGCATATGTCACTTTTTAACTTGTGGAGATATCTTTGCCTTGAAAGTAAAGCAGACGATKGTGTGACCTGCTTCTGAGCAGAAAGAAAATCCTAGAAAATGGATTATTCCTGCAGTCTGTCTCGGAGATCCTTAAATCGGGGTAAGCGAGCTGGTCCTGGGTCCCGTCTTTGTGGGCTGGGGAGGGAAACATCTGTATTTCCACATATAGTCACAGCCCCGTGGCACATGGCAAACGTGTAGGCTCCTGTGAGGTGCTGGAGTCGCACCTGGATGGCGGGTGCTCTGTCAGGAGGACAGAAGGCTCTGCCAGGAGCAGTCGTCACTGTGGTTTTTACCTTGTTTCTGCTTCCTTGGAGGCCCTTGGCCGCTAGGTGCAGGCTGAGCTGCTTCCCTGCCCCTGCTAAGAGGCAGCTGTTCAAAATTGATTCTTCTCTGAAGCCCAGCCTGGAGTTCAAGGGACAGCAAAGGTTAAGTTTTATGTTACTAAATATAATATACCCACATGAGAAGTCTGTACCTGCTCCCCCAGGAATGGACATGGAGCCGTGCTCACCAAGGCCTCCCGTGCTCCCTGGGGTTGTGGGTGAGGCGCTCTCAGCTCCCGGTCTGTCTTTGGACCCCATTCTGGGATTTTAACCCTCCTGTTTCACAGCATTTACCCCAATCCCAGCTTTGGCACACTTCAAGGCACTCTGCGGTGTGTGCTGCGTGCTTCTGAGGTGAGTGGTGCTTTTCCCCAGCTTTCCTAAGCCCTTTATTCTTGTGGAGAGTAGCAAGCTACGAGACTGCATAGGTGCCATGGGACAGCGCTGCCCTCTCCATTAGTCTCTGAAATAGCACAGRGAATTTTCCTAGTCCAAATCTAAAGTTTCAGAATTGATATGGCGCAGGAGGCTTTGAAGAGACAAGGCACTTGCACTAAAGTTTCTGATCAGTTAAATCACGTGCAAATCACGTGCAACCCAGGTCCGTTTAGGAAAGGATGGGTTGATGCACACCAAGCTCAGCCGGGCAGATCTGGGTTCGGGCCCGACACGCATGGGCTGCCAAATTAACCCTGACTTTCCCTGACACAGGAATCCCACGTCCCTGCGGGGCTCTCTGCACTGGGAAGCCTGTCCACGCTCCCAGGTTACTGCTGAGAGGTTGGGGATAGTGGTCACAGGCCCTAGTTCTGTGAGCTGTGCGGAGAGATTCGGCATTGCTCTGTTAAACCCCAAGCTTGTTTGCCCATGGATCCAGGGATCCCACCAGGTTTCTGGTTAGAGGGAGCACTAAGTAGCCAAGAGGCATCAAGAGAAACCAACACATAGAGAGTTTGCTGGGGCTCAGCAAACTGCACCCATGATGGGAAATACAGCACCCGTTCGTGACCCGACAGATCTGAGGCCGCAGCGGTGAGGGCAGGGTCTGTGTTTTACACGTCTCTCCTCCCGCAGCAGTGCTGGGTCGTGCTGGGCCCCACAGGAGCTTCACACGCTGCTGCTTGCACCAAAGGAGGCGTTTGTCTCGTGCTGTTGTCCTGGCCTTGGCCTGGATGAGAGGCCGCTGCTCTTGCCCCACTGTGCAGAGAGGATGAGATACCCCCAGCCTGTGGCCATTGCCTGCTGCCCAGGGAGAGGTGAAGTGGCAACCTCAACAACAGCAGGAGGAATCCAGGGATTCATCCAGACCCAACTCGCACAGGAAACTGCTCACGTAGGGTGAAATAACCCCCACACCTCTCAGCTGGCACTGAGGTAAAACAGTGAGGGTAAAACAGTGACTCGAAATTGGGGACAGCTGGAAAAGCGGCTTTTCAGCCCGGACCATGGACGAGCCTGGGTCCCCCTGGGACCCGCAGGTGCCGCGCGGCGGCCACGCTGATGCACGGCAGGCARGAGGCCTGAGGGCGGCCGCGTGCGCGGCGCAGGGCCGAGGCCGAGGCCGTGGGGGAGCTCGGGGCGCTGCTCTGCCGAGTGCCGGCAGCGGAGCGTGACTCAGAGCAGGGCGCGCGTGACCCGCTCGCAGCCCCACTCCTGGCCCCGCTCCTGGCCCCGCTCCTGGCCCCATTCGTGGCCCCGCGCGCGGAAGTTCGCCGGCGCCTCACGAGCCTCAGGGGTTTCGCTAGGCAGCCAAGTGTGACAACTTCCCACTGCGGATCGCGCGGCGCTGAGAGCTTCGCCCTGGGTGAACGGCGCTCCATACCAACGCCGGGAAGCAGTAACTGAAGTCAGACATGAGGCTTGAGGGGAGCGCCCTGGGCACAGGTCTCAGGGAGCACTGCCCTTGCAAGGAGCAGCCCCTCTCTCCTTCCCCTCTCCCGGCTTGATTGTCCAGGAACAATTTTTCTTTCTTTTCCTCATCGACGGTCAGTTTTGGAGCAGCCCATATCGGACACCCACTTGCTGCATGAGAGCCCGATGAGGGCTCTGTGCAGGGGACCCAGGAAAGCTGCATGGAAGAGGAGCTTGCCGCCTGGAGCAGACCACGACTAAGGTTTGCACACTTATTTTTATTTTGCGGGGGGTTAGCAGCGTAGACGGCAGCATGGAGGGGAATTAAGGCTTCTGCATGGATAGGAAGGACTAAGGAGTGATGGGGTCTCTGCTGGGTTGTGGTCGGCGCTCGGCATCCAAGTGGCAGCACCGCCAGGCTGGCTCGGCCAGCGCGTCCTCATCCCTCAGGCACAGCCTGGACTGGGGTGGGATCAGCAGGGTCTGGGCTGAGCCTTGGGTCCAGACGCCACAGGGGATGTGTGTCCCCATTGCGCCCCCTTCTCCCACTCCCCTCCCAAAACTGGGAATCTGGTTGGTCCTCGTGGCTGGACAATGTGATTTCCCCACCCCAGCATCACCCACACTTGGTGGAAGAGCATGGAAGACGCCACTAGCAGAGCTGTCCTCTGCTGGTTTTGKAGCCAGGCTGGCTCTGTGCTGGTGTTTCCCAGGTGCCAGGACCCACTCCGTGCCCACACGCGTGGCAAGCACAGCACTGCACCTTCCCACTCGCCCTTCCAGCTCCATTCAGTGACAGGCTCCTTGCTGGTTAAGGAACTTCCTGGGAACAGGGAAAATACAAAAGGTTATTTGCTCTTTCCAGAGACACATGAAAACAGCTTGGGCATATGGCACACAAAATTGGAAAGCACAAGCTGGTGAGAAACCATCATTTTTCCCCTCAGTACATGTACTAGTGCCTTCATGTAGTGGGGTTTCAACCTCTACACAAACAGAGCTTGACACAAGTCTCAGGAAAAAAAAAAACTTTATTACACATATATTAAAAATACGGGCATCTTTTACGGTTTCCTTCCCTAAGGAAAATGTGAAAAGCAAAAAKCTCAATAAAGGTATACAAAACTACAGCAAAATAAATGAGAAATGAACGTAGCACAAAGTTCATGCTTATCAACATGCTTTAATTTTTAACATACAAAGAAAGTAATTTCTTCTCAAAGGAAATAATTATCAAATGCAAAATGAGATAAAACTGGTAACTTAAATGAAAGTYTCCCCTCTATTAAAACTAGCGATGTAAGTCCCGGAGGTGCAGGGTAGGCCCTGGTGGCACAGGCAGCGCAGCACCCTTAAGACAAGACTAGAGATGAGCAACARCCACGCGGTGCCATCACGGCCTCGTGTCATTCATGTCCCTTCAGCGTGGACAGCGGCCCATCCATAGACCTAGAGGAGCTGCTGGGGGCATCCCAGCACCCCAGTGCTAAGAAACTCCCTTGTCACTAATATAAAGASGAAATTCTCTATCAAAATTTCCGTATCATTAAGTCTGACCTTCAATTACTCTCTGTCTTAGTGGTCCCAGGGCAACTATCTGACCATAGCAAAAAGACCAACAGTTYATTCAGCCACTCGTGTGTTGGTTTACTGCAGCTGCTCACCATGATACTTGGCACAGTCTCCTTGACACAGGAAATTCAAAGCATCCAAATTGTTTTTTTTTTTATTATGATGTGTGATTTGCCAATGCAGAGACCACACAAGAATCCCATACCAAAATGTGGGCTGCGAGATATAAAATGGACCCGGTTTCATGTTAAAGAAAAAAAAAAGGAGCAAAATCAATCTAGTTCCCCAAAGACCRCTTCATGAACATTAAAGACCAGCTTTTGTTTGTGACAGGAACAGTCTGTGCAGCAGAATGAGGTTGCCCCTGCACTTGTACACCCATGTGCAGGATACCATTCACATACCGGAGGCTGAATAAAATACTGCAAGAGCTAACGGCTGCTTTCACCTATTTCTGAGGAAATCTGGAGTCGGTCTGTTGCACTGAGGGGCTATTTTGAATTTTAAATGACGCAGCCAAGCGCTGGCCTGAGGTGATTGTGGAGCTGATCATGACTCCGACTTGACTCAGATGCAGACTCTGCTAGAAGAGCCCCAGGGAAAGGACTAGAGCATTTTTCCTAAGTGGTGTAGAAATGGAGAGGGCTTTTGGATCCAAACTCTGGACCCAACTCTGGACAAGGAGCTGATGGGAACAGCAAAACAAGGCCGAACTCTTTCCCCATGCTCTTTACGGACGGGAGCAGTGGCTCATCCTGCCGGCCGCGCGGCTGTGGCGAGGTGGCCGGGCTCACCAGCCACCCTGTTGGTTCAGGCTGTGGTTCAAGCCACAGATGTTCTGGGTATTTACAGGTGTCACAACCCGCTTCAATCCTGTCAGTTCTGCAAGCAACAAGCGTCTCTCCATTTGCTTCATGCTCAAGGTTTCACTTCCTTGGGCTGGGAATGCAGGAAAAGGGACCTGCCAGGCCCCCCACAGCCTGGGCTGTGCGAGCAGCCGTGCTCCCATTGGCGCTGGCAGGAGGCTCGCTGTAAAACCGAGTCCTTCCCCTGAGAGAGCCTTTGGGGTACACAGCTGGTGTGCCCCAACTGAGAGGTCCTTGGAGCTACATGACTGATACCCCCAGCAGGATCCTTCGGGGTACCCGCGTGGTGCCCAGGGGCTGGCGCCGGGAGCGGCGGGCAGCAGCTCACATGAGGCCCTGGCACGAGTTGGGCACCACGGAGGCGTTGAGGTGGGTGCTGAGGGTGAGGGAGCTCCTCACGCGCCGCCCGCCCAGCATGGCGAAGGACCAGTTGGAGCTGCGCTCCTGGCTGTCGTAGGCGGAGGAGCCCTGCTCGAGGCCGCGGGCCGGGCAGCGCGCGAGGCGCCGCGCGATCCCGCACAGCGCCCGGCGGAACCGCTCGCCCGCAAAGACGTAGAGCACGGGGTTGAGGCAGCTGTGCAGGAAGGCGATGCCCTGCGTGACCTGCAGCCCGATGTCCATGCGGTCGGCGGCCTGGCAGCTGTACGGGGCGCGGGTGTACGTGTGCAGGGTCTTGACGAGCAGAACGCTGTTGTAGGGGAACTGGGAGAGCAGGAAAGCGGTGACGATGGCCGTGATGATCTTCAGCGACTTCTGCTTTTGGGATCTTTTGGCTTGAAGGAGGGTGTGGATGATAAGGGTGTAACAAATCACCATGACAAGGAGCGGGAGGAAGAAGCCTATCGTGATTTTCAGGGCCAGGACAGTGAGTCGGAAGGTCCTGTTGATGGTGGGCGGGTAGGTCATTTTACAGGCCGTCACGTCGCCAACTTGCCTGATCTCGCTGTACACGATTTCCGGGATGCACAGGCTCACAGAGGTCAGCCAGACTGCCAGGCACACGAGTTTGCTGTGCAGGAGCCTTTTCTGCTTAGAATTTTTAGCTTTTGCGGCCTGGACAACAGTGATGTACCTGTCGAAACTGATACACATGAGAAACAAGGTGCAGCCGTAGAAGTTGATCTTATACATGCTGTTGACGATTTTGCACATGAAGCTCTTAAATATCCAGCCGTCAGAGGCGGCTTTGGCCCAGAAAGGGAGGGTGAAAAGCAGGAGCAGATCAGCGATGGCCAAGTGCAGCAGGTACCGGTCCGTCATGCTCTTCCTGAAGCGGTATTTGCAGTAGACCAGCACGACCAATGCATTTCCCACCRTGCCCACAGAGAAGATGAGCCAGAAAAACACCGGCAGGAAAGCTCTGGCGAACTGCCTGACCTGCCTCTTGTCGCACGTGAGGTCAGTGTCGTTTAAAACGTGTCCAGCCAGAGACATCTCCGTGCTATCGTTCTTGTAATAATCCAGGCTGGTCCTGTCATGGTGGGTGACCTGYAAGGGAGCATCTGATAAACTTGTGTGGAAGAGGTGGCTCAGAAAAGCATAAATTTGACCCTCTCCATCAGGTGTAATTTAAKATCCACAGCACATCCTTTTTCAGATAGAGAAGCAAAAAGGCTCCTGGTAAAAAGCACTGCATTTCARCTGCTTGAGCTGTGCCTAGCAGTTAAGCACGTGGAGCTGGATGCCTTCGTGCCCTTACTGTGATGGCTACTACTTACACTCATCCACAGCTCTGGGTCTGCTGAGTAACAAACCCCCCAGCCCAAGAGCTGTGCCCTGCTCCAGCCCAGCTCACGGTGGCCGGTGGTGACAGTCCTCCCCGTGTCACAACATTGGCACCGCTGCTGCCTTGGCGGCTGGACACACGTGACAAATCCCATCGTCCCACCCATCGTCCCGTAGCCTTGGAAAGAGGCGGGGAAGAGGCTTGGAGTTACTGCACAGGCAGAACGGCACTGTTGGCCCAAGAGAGCTAGAGACCTGGRGAGGGCTAAAAGAGGGAGAGGGAAAATAGGAAGATTGCACAGCAGCACAAGCGCATAGAATCAGAATCGCAGAACGCTTAAGGTTGGAAGGGACCTCAGAGATCATCKAGTCCAACCCCRTTGCTCACKCAGGGTCACCCAGAGCACGTGGCACAGGGCTGCGTCCAAGCGGGTTTTAAAGATCTCCAAAGAAGGAGACTCCACAACCTCTCTGGGCAGCCTGTGCCAGGGCTCTGTCACCCTCACTGTCAAGTAGTTTTTCCTTAAGTTCCTGTGGAACTTCTGGTGCCTCAGTTTGTGGCCGAATACTCACCGCGCTGGGAAATGCCATATTCAGGCAGCCTTGACTCAGTCTTGAGGAAGGCACAGTAACCTGGAGAGAGAAGAGGGAGGGAAAGACAGTGATTTGAAAYGGTTTGGAAACAGAACTATAAGCTTGAGGCTTTTGCAATGAGAAACAACAGGAGGTCTCACAGCAAACTTTCTGAAGCAAACCTTGGTGTCAGCTCCAAGCCTGGACCCGTCCCTTTGAAATGAGGCTGAGAGGTTGAAGAAYGAACCAAACTAAGTCATGTCACTACTCTGAGTTTCTTAGATGTTTCCATTTTGCTAAGAGACTGGCAGAAAATATCCTTAACGCATTCAAGTTTACACTTAAGGCCATGATCTTCAGCATCTTCTCTCTGCTGTGCTGATCAAGTCCTTTGACTTGCTGCAGTCACTTTTGCTTGCTGCGATTTCACTTTTAATAAGATGTAGAGTCCCCAGTGCACACRTTAAAAAAGAAAGTCATGTGAAAGCACCAACACTTCGAAAAGATCATTGAGAATAACCAAAGTATCTCTCAAATTGTCTAACAGCTAACAAGGAAAAGCACCTGCCTTTTCTAGTGGGACTTTGCAGTTTTCGAACACTTGCATCCTCCATATGACTGATTTTTCCATCTGCTCTGTCCTGTCTGCAACATCTCTGTCCCATCTTTGCGTTTAACTGCTGTGTCGGTCCCTGCTGGCCAACAAAGCAGATCTCTACGCTGCAGTAAAACCCGCCAGCAGCCTAGGCAGCCCTGCCAGGCGAGCGGGCGAGCAGCCCGGCGCTGGCGCCGCTCTCTGGAGCGGGATCTGGGCTCTCCCACGTCCCGCGTTCCAGCAAACGGGTCAAGCAAGCGCGAGGCGGCCGCGCGAAGCCCGGCCTCCCACCGCGGCGGCAGCTGCACCAAACGCAGCCTCTTCCAAGGGGAAACGGCCAACGTTCACGCTCTGGTTTCCCTTCAGTTTCTCACGTGCGCTGACTAAAAACACCTTCCCACAACGTGATTCGAGGTACGAATTAATCCAGCATTCAGTCACCTCCTTACCCTTCGCTAACCCCGTGAGCAAGTTCACCGGCAAAGCCAGGGTCCTGGAAGCAGCTGCTTTTAGGGACAGGGGATGTGTTTGTAGAGTTGCACTTGTGTTTGGGTCCCCTCTGGCCTGAATTGCCTTGTACCCCTTTGCTCACTATGGGGGCCGAAGCGAATGTTTGCAGCAAATGGCTGCAGTGTCTTTGAATCCAGTAAAAGATCTTTTTGAGGAGTTGTTTTCACCCATTCAGAAATGATTTTGTTCCAAAGGCACCACTTTGGGGACTAATCCTTCCATTTTTTCCTCTTCTTGAAGCAATTTTAGTGAATATGAATTATTAAGGAGTGAAGTCTGCAACCTTTGTAATAAAAGCATTAGTCTAGTCAGAGAACAGATTAAGCAAATGAAACCAGTCATAGTATGTGCTCTATTAATGCTTAGATTTTCTATCAAAATAAAAGCTATATGCAGAATTATGTGGRTCCCTGAAGTTTCAAGTACAGCTCTAAATGTACTATTCAGCTTTCAGCTGTCCGCTCTGCATAGTGGTTGAATTTGGAAYATGCAACATTCACAGCGTAATTTCRTTTGCCTTCSTYTTGAGGCAAACAACCCAGGGAAAGCAGCCAGCCAAACTCTACTCAGAAGYTACACCAGCAAAAATACGTGAGTGGGCTGAAGGGAATGCCCAAAGCCGGCTGGTAAACCAGACGTGCCACAGGTGAATCCCAGGATGTGGGAACAAAGAGCAGTCAATCACAGCCATGGGAACGCGGCATGTGCAGGATATTTGTGAGTCCAGGGAAAGCGGGGGAAGCTGAGAGACAGCAAGGGATGGTGAACTGATGGGAATGGATCTGCTGTCTTTCCACTTATCTTTGGGGAAGGACGTGGTTTCAGGAATCAGTGAATCAAGTGCCTGGCTGCCCCTTCCCAGCCACGGGGCAGTGCCAAACCCCACGAGCTCTGTCTGCCAAATTTCGTTTGCTCAAAAACCCCTCGGGGAGCCCAACTCTCCCACGAGCACCGTAGCTGCGAGAACTGCCCCAGCCTCCCCCGTGCCGAAACCACCCCCTGGGACTGAGACTGTCACCTACAAGTGAGTGGTGAGTGCGGCTAGAGCCGCCATCCCGGCAGCGGGGAGCCTCCGGCACCGCTTCCCAGAACAGGATGGCAAAATCTGCCCAAAGGYGCCAAGTTTGGGCATTGCTTTTTGCTCCTCAGACCCACCTTGAATTGCAACAGGGAAGAAAAAAAGTCACAGTAAAGGGGTGACTTTACTGATACGTGAGCTCTTTTTGCAACTAAATAAGACCGTGTGTGAGGTGTTTTTCCTCCCAGGGAAGGCGCACAGGGAAAGCAAGCAGGGCCGGGCCTCGGGCAGCCCGAGCAGGGCGCTGGCACTCACCGGCCCGGGCGCAGGGACGTGGGTCCAGCTCCGGCTCCCGCCGCCGCACGGGCTGCTGCTCTCTGCAGCACTGCTTCAGCTGTGGCCTTTTTGTAGGCTGCGGTGGGTGTGGGCTCGCAGGACCCCAGCCTAACTAAACCTGGGGCGGCCTGTTTTTTCTGTGGTTTGCATGGTTTAGGTGTTTCAAACACAGATGGCAATCTTCTCTCTCTTTTTTTTTTTTTTTCTTTTCTTTTTTGTCTTTTTGCTGTTTTCCTGGTAAGCTATTTCAAGAGCGAAGGGGAGACCTCCCCTCCTCGCGCTTTGCTGCTCACATGTGTGGGTTAGCGCGGGGCAAATTGCAGGCTGCTCCCGGCCTGGCTGCATCCCGCCAAGAACACCCTTTAACCAGGGGGGAAGTAAATCCCGGGATAAGAACAGGACCCTCCAGGGCCTAGGAGTGTCAGCAGGAGAGGCCGAGGAGGCAGCAAGAGGTGGTGCTGAGCTCTCACTGGCACCCAACTGCTCCAAGCCCTTACTCCAGCACAGCTAACACCTCCTGAGGCTTAAATCCAGCTGACCAGAGCCTGGCTACCTCATCTCCGTGACTGGAGCAAAATCAAAGTTTGGCACCTTCAGGGTAAAGAGCCAAGGTCTTTATTCCTGCCCCAGAAATTGGGGGGATTGTCACATCTCATGTGACAAGCAACGGGAAGGAGTGTAGCAGGAAAAATCTTGAAGTGGGAAGCAAAGAGAATTTATAATAAATACATGAACAATAAATACATGAACTTGCACATGGTGTGTCTTCTTCCTGGCAGGCTAGCATGCAAATTTGCAAAGATTTAAATTCCCTTCTCTACAGGAAGTCAAAACACCGTGTTTTTTGTGCAAGTGCTGGATGCCGTTCAGCTGTGACTGATGCTGCTTTGTCTCAAGCTTTAAGAGAATTTAAAAACTGCAGCTCAGGTTCAGCTCTGCCTACCAAGGTAATATCGGTTCAGACCAGGTTTTGTGTTGGGCTCAAATGTTGTTTGGCCTGATGGCCTCAGCTCTGGTAGCAGGGGAGCTGCAGGGCTGAGTGGAGARGAGGCAGAGTTCTCTGTTACATCTCTTACATCTTCCAGGTTTCTGCATATCTTCTGTATTACTCATAATCCTGAAACTCTTCCTGAAAAAACGTGCAGATTTGTATGAGGTATCTATACTTTGGATATGATCTCTTAAGAAATGAGGAATCTTTATCTCTCTTACCCCTAGAGCCTTAGCTAGCACGGGKCCGAGGCGGTGCACAGGTCACAGAGTGAGAGATGGGCACGACTCTCTGCGTATGCAGAGACTCTTTCCACTACAGCAAATATTCCCTAACTATTGGGGAACCCCCCAAGTATCCTCTGCCATCAGGCAGGTGCCATCAACCCCCAAACGCTCCTTTCCCCGGTTTATTYGATGTGTTTTTTGTCTGAATACGAGATGCAGCTGTCCTTGTCCTCTCCATTTTGCATTTCACGTTCTRGACAAATAATGTCTTTCTCTCCTGGACGCTGTTCCAGAGCAAAGAAACATCCGCACATGGGCCTGGTGCCATGGCCGTGCTCCGCAGCACTGAGGGCACCTTCCCCTGGGAGCAGCAGGAGCCTTGGCCCTTGCCCAGGTATTTCTTACTCTATTTTGCACTATTATTACCAGATATCTTCAAATTTTTAGTGCTTTAACCACTTTCTCTGCTCATCCCATCCTTGAGAGGCAGCAGTGATTTCCAAAGGCAGTGATCTCTACTACTGGCGTTAGAACTGCAGTTCTGAAGGCAGCTCCTACACAAGTCAGGGCCATTTTGTGTTGGTTTAGAGAGTCCAAAGCCTCCTTGCAGGCTGCTTAATCTACCTTTCCAGAAAGCATCAGGGGCATGTTAAAAATTATTCTGAAGCAATGAGTTGTTTGAATTTGCGGCGATCTTGCGCTCTTTTCCATCAGGCCTCCCGTCACTTTCTCCGAGCTTCAGCCCTTCTTGAACTGTCAGAGGATAAATCTGTTTGTCCCGTTGGTGGCACTTGCGCCCTGGGGGCTCCCGGGGACACTTGGGCTTTCACTTCTCCCTGTCCTCCCAATCCGCRGTGCGAGCAAGTCCTCCCAGGGGAAAAGCCCCCGGGCTGGGCCTCGCACAGCGACGGCTTTCAGGAAGCGTCTCTGGAAGACGACGGGGATTTCCACGGAGCGGGATTTGCCTTCATGCAGCGCACACGGTGCCTCTGAGGCTCACAGCCACCTCCGCCTGCCAGGTGGCAGTGCCCATGGACAAGCCCTCTGATTCCSGGTACCGCAACATCCCGGGATTTCTTGCTAATGAATGAGGGCCCTCAGGACCTTAACTGGGCCTAGCTTAGCTCTCCTTAGGAGCAAAGGAGCGGGCACAGCTTCACCCATCTGTTTTGCACAGACAGCTCCATTTTCCAAAGGSCCCTGGACAGAAAAACCATTGGAGTAGACCATGAGTGGTTGTTATTAATCCCATTAATTACTTTTCTGCCGTATGTCACTTATTACGTGTCACTGATAACAATGGCATTTTCGCTCGCATCAGTGGRAACAGAAGCCAGACTATTGTGTGAACGTTGTAAATTTTCTAGGCAAATTACTGCCTGCTAAATCGCTCCGTTTGCTTCCATGCTTAATGCTGTCCGTGGTTAATTAATTTCAAACCAAACCTAAGATGACAGCCGGGTCAGCTCTTGGGATTCTAGCACGCATCGTGCAGCRACTTGGCATTTCCCTCCAGCTCCCATAATAAGGAGACTGAGTCTCTCCTTCCCTCACAAATATATATTTCTTTCATGTTCACTAAGACAACTTGAAAACGTAAAACTTACAGGTTTAATGCGAGTGGGAAAATAAAAGAATCTATCAATTCTGATGCCTTTTTTAGCATCTGGATGTTTAATCTAGCGCACAAGTCGGAGATGATTTTTTGAACTCCTTATTTAGCCCACATATCAATGACAGAGATGTACTTGGTTTGATGCACTAATCAGGTGCTGGAAATATTTTGCCAAAATAGAACAAAATCTAGGGTTACACCCTTCTCTGCGGCTGACCTATGAGTTTCATTTTTTACAGCAAAAACTGCACTGTGCTTGCACTAAACCTACCTTAAAGCATACCCCCTCCGGAAAAAAAATATTTATTTTCCCCTCCACAAGTAAACATTAATCTGCTTCTCTAAGCAGGCTGTTTTTGCAGTTTTAACAGTGCCATATTTGGCCTACTTTGGAGAGGAGGTGACTGCGATTGGTTTGCCATTCTCTGCAAAGAAGGTATTTGCAATCTGTGAGACCAGTGTCCTGTTGTATGTGACCAAAATTATGTCATCTAGGAACGGYAAAATTCTTCTGTATAGACTAAAACACACAAAGTGAGCCATAGAAATGGAGGAGTGGAAAGAGGCAAAAATAAAATAAATCATCTCAGATATGAAGTGAGACAAGACTTCTCCAGATGAATATTCTTCTGWCTTGATCTCCATTGAATAGGGTCCTATATCTGAAAGCAGAGAGAAGATGACTACATGATCYCATTCCCACCCTAGGTCTTCCCAAACATGTGGGCATTCCCAAAAGCATGAGTCCGTCAAGCTTTTCAGCATTTCTTTTTTCCTCTAGTAACACAATTTCAGTCAGATTACTTGCTTCTGTATACTATGCCTTAGGGAATTGGTCTGATGCACAGAACCTAATCCTAGGATTTACTTTTCTCAACAAAATGCATAATTAATCTGTTATTCTCGTTTTTCAGCTGAGGGTACTGAAAATGCTCAAAAATGTGAGTTTGGGCGTAAATTTTGAGGTGTTTAAGACTTGCTTGGGTCTTTTTTAACAATGCATCATGTTTTTGTAACCCCTCCTCCTCCGACCCAATTGCAAGTGGAAATGCACACAGCACGTCTGTAAATCTGATTGCAGGTATCGCGTGCTGAGTCTCTGGAAAACCCAGGTATGTGCAGCCAGAACTGGCCTGCAAACACTCTGGTTTCACTCCTCTTGCTCCCCAGGACACCCTCTGCTCCAACACGGAGCCTCCACCCAACCTGGCACAACTCAACCGCGGCCCCTCCGCCCGCCAGCTCCGCGCGCTGCCCCGCTCGCTCCCTCCTTGCACTGGGCAAGGCAGAGCCTCCGGGGAGGACAAAATACAGCGTTTCACCCAACAKTGTCCCGAGCTCACACAGAACCTTTTAAATTGTGCAAGTTGAAGAGTCAGTATCATTCAATGGAAAGACATCTCAAAGTGTTGCTTACCAAAATGTCCACAAGAACCCCCTTGGATAGTTCAGAACTGTATTTTCACACACAAACACCCCCTCAAAAAACAAAAAAGTCAGCCAACACATGAACCCTGACTGACCCTTTCCCCGGGGAAGGTTTTGGTTTAATGTACTCTTTATTCTGAGTACTGTCCCAACATGCAAATATGCAAGAGCAGGTCTATCCTTTCTCTCTTGTACATCAGACGTGGCCAGTGTCACTGTGTCACTAGGACCTACTTTGTAGGGTTACTTTTGTAGGTAATGATCCACATCTGGTCATACCTTCCAAAGGAAGACTGTACAGATGCATTAATTTAGCAAAGAGCTGTGCCACCCATAGCCATTGCTCTCTACTCCTTTGGCCCAGCCCTGGTTTTGCCCTGGAAGAGCAGTCCCTACTTCTGAAGGGGCTATAAAGGCCAAGCAGGCCAAGACAGCCCGCTTAGATTGACTGCAGTGGCTACTGCAGGTAATGTGAGGCAGCTGACTYTTCCTGAGGCTAAAACAAACTCCTTTTTCGTTCTCCATCACTTGTCATACCTGGGCGGGATCTGTCACAGGCAGATCTGCTATCATCCCCAGCCTTCAGTGTCACCAGGAAACAATATTTGCCTATGACTTAAAAGTTAATATCCAAGGTCTTAAAAGTCTCTACCTTCTTTATTTTTGCTTTTTAACATAAAAAAATGTGGGACTCCTTGTCTGAGAACTAAGTTCAAGAAGTCACTTGATGACTCACTTCAGTTGTTAGCACTTTTCCTAGCGCTTAGTCAGAGCTGTATTCCTCTGCTTCTGCCTGTACTTTTGACCCCGAAGAAAAGTTCCCTGGGAGTTCAGACCACTATTATGTCAACAAATAACTAGACAAACGTTGAAAAATTAAGTCAGGTCTTGGAGATGCCCAGGGTGCAGAGACGCAGAAGAGCACACATAGTCAGAGACAGCTTTGGAGGTGCTGAAGGAGGAGCAGCAAGAGAGAGAGAGATGGGTAAAACCTCAGCAGTCTAACATTCAAGTAAAGCGTACCTGTAACTTATTATATACCCTAATTCAAATTGATATTTGGTGTGTCAGAAGGTTGCTAGGACTCTGCTTTGTGGGAAACAAAACCATTTATTTGTGTGAGGCCCTTAAAAAGGAGTCTGGAGTAAAGCAGGGGAGAACTTGTCCCTCCATTAGGCTGACTCTGGTATGTTACCATCAGCATAGGGAGCTTGTCATCCTGGGAAAGAGTCACAAGAAACCTCTTTTCTTAGCAAAACGGTCACTCCAGCACAGTGCTTGTGTTGCAGATGTAGTGAGGAGGAAGGTGCAGCTCTCTTTAGGAGTTATGAAGCACCATAAAACCATTCTGCTCAGCAGGACCCCCGGCAAACCTCATGGAAGATGTGGTGGCAACAAAGTCGTCTGACTGGAGACTTGTGACGGGGGATCCCCAAGGAAAGACCCAGCCCTGTCTCCCTGACCTGCATCTCACAGCAGTGAGACCCTACTGATTGAAGGGTCTTTCAATCAGTACAGTACTGAGGCAGGTGGAGAAAGCCCCACACATTTCAGCTGTGAGCTCTTCCAGGAGGGAAGGAGCTCGGCCCGTTAAGAGGCAGCATCTCGCAGCAGAGCAGGAGCTGCAGGCACTAACATACTGCATTGCAGGGTGCTGTGGGTTCTGGTGTGCCTGCCCTTTCCCGCCATCAGGAGCATGGATAACTGGAATCATCAGGTCTCCTGTTCATGCCTGCAGCCATTTCAGAACTAACATCAGAAGAAGGGACATCAAAATTTAATTTTTGGTTATGACCCACTCCTCAGAGCAATAACTTAGAGCCATCACCAGAAAATGTTATTAAATGTTCTTTGCATTATGGATGCAAAGAGCAGCAGGCTGCAAGCTGCCTGCTCGGGAGCACCCATGCTGCTGCTGCCATGCCACGGTCGCCCCCGTTTCCCTTTCAGAGAAGCTGACACTATAACCCAGATCACCAAAGTAATCCATTATTTTTCTTTTTGCAACGTTACCCTTACGAGAGGTCATCACCTTCTCTCCTACCCACAGAAAGAGGTAATTGCAGCGCCTGGGAACTCCCAGATAAAAGGAGTGAGCAGTATCGAGAGCAGGGTTTGATCCGTGGCTGCGAGAGGCTGTAAGGGCCAGCTCATTTTGCAATTCATCACAGGCTCCTCTATCCCCTCCGCCCGCTGCAAGAAGCCGCACTGTGGTTACGAGACACAAACTCGTGAAACTCCCCGTGTTGCAGGAGGGAGAGGAGGGACGCGGGAGGAAGAGCCCCATTTACAGACAAAGTGCTGCTGGCTCTGTTCACACCATCCCACAAAACGCCGGGGTATAAAAGGGATATTTTGCTTCACAGTGTGGATGTTTTCCCTAAAGCTTCTCTCCCGGCAGCACCCTGAAAGGTGCATTTATGGCCCGAGGAATCAGGCTTTGCCTCCTAGGGGCCCAGGAGTTTGCAGTACGGCCTCCCAGGTAGGTCTGCACATGTATCTTGTGCCCATAAACCCTATTTGGTGCACGAAAATTAGCTTGCAAATTGTGGAGGCCAACCGAAAAGGCAGGTGAGCCTGGCCTGAGAAGTGAGYGCTCCTCAGGATGTGCGTGTGGGCTTGTTGCCGTTCTTTTTTTAACGTATTTAAGTCAGGCTAAATCAGTACAGTAGGATTTGCCTCCCTTTAGGAACAGAGTCAAATTTGGCATCCTGTGTCATCCCACTGCAGTGCCATGGGAGATCTCGGGCCCTGTCCGCCACAGATGGCTGGGAAGAAGTTTCCAGGGGAAAGCCAGGGAGAAAACAAGCGACCTTTTCACGCCATTGGAAATAATTTGTGACATTTTGACTTGAACCTTTTAGCAAGCAGCATTTACACAAAATGCAAGTCTACTTTGAAAAATATTTTGACTTCAGACAAAGCTCTGAATGGGGAATCTACAAGAGAAAACGTGCTGCTTCTCAGCCAGGCTGCTTGTTTTCCTCCTTCATAAGGAATTATGTGATAACAGAACCATACARAAAGGCTTAAGTCTGAATATGACGTGTGGCGGTGTTGGGCTAAATTCAACACAACTGAGGCTGGGAAAAGCTCGTGTTCCTCTGCTTTGTTCACAGAAATGTATCTTATCTCCTGGTAGCTTTCCATCGCTTGCATTGGCCGTGCTTGTAGCTGAATCAAATATGAAGACAAACATCTCTGAAAGAACATACTGTGGTTTCCTTTATTTTTCACTTATTTCTTCACCAAGCGCTCTTTTAACATCTCTCTTCATATAGAAACAGTACCACAGTTGCAATCACTTTTATTGCCCATGTCTGGATTTCTAGTTATCCGGATTAGACAGACTGGATTAGATAGTATACGTGACATTTCTTAGCACCTCTGAGAAGGTGCTTCAATTAATTCCTAAGAAAGTTTAAAGTGATAATTAAAGCCACTATAGAATATTTTACCTCCTTTCTTCTGCTCCTCGTTCTCCAGCAATCCTCTCTAAATTCCAGGTGAATCTCACATTACAGTGATTAATGTGAATCTCACATTACAGTGCCCAGACAACAAGTTTTATTTTTTTTTCTCCTAAAATTACTCATATTCTTTTATAGCAATGAGTAGCAGAAGTGATTTCATGTTATAAAGAAAGCTTTGCCCTTTTATTTTTCAGTCATTCTTCCTGGGCGCTAGTGAAAGTATTCCTGCTTCAATATCTTAGATATATTGCATTTGAGAACTTGAAACTTATACAAAAATAGTGCAAGGCTAATATTAGAAATTTATCCTAAAAGCAAACAGAACGCCATGGGCACCTAAGTGAGGAGCAGATCTACAGTGATGCACTGCTATCATATTAATGTATTATTRATTATACAGGTCAGGCTTTGTCCACTCCTAGGAACAACAACTGTWATGTGGATTTTCATTAGCCATATGCAAGCCGATTTAAAAGTCTTGGGGGGGAAATAGAAATGAAGAAAATGTATAGAAGCTGAGAAAGGGTGTTTTAAAATGTGTTTATGTAAGAGGTCCTCGGCACAAAAGCTTCTTTTATCAGCACACCTATTCCTGTCATTCTGTGATATTGGGCTTGRGCAGCTGCTCTTGTTTTTACTGCACTCCTAATAATTTATTCAACTTAACTGTTTGATTGTAAAACTAAAGCAGTATAAAATACAATCACATCAGCAGACCACTGAATTCATCATTATAATATATTTTGAAGCTAAAATTATTGCAGTAATCACAAAGGTTAATCAGGTGAATTTAGCAAATTTTACACGCAATGAGCAGGCATTGGTAATAAGTATATGATAAACAAATAGGCTAGACTAGATCATTTAATTTTTATCMTATTTACCAAAAAAATGTATTTTTTACTGCTTTACTGTGAAAAGCGACTGAAAAAGGTAAGGTCTAATGGGTTATGTAAATAACCCGTAAATAAAACCCATTAAAGGTGACTTTTAAAGCCCTAATAAGAATCTCATCCTACTTGTTTTATGTTTATGTTTTGTTGTTTTTTTTTTCTTTTTTAATGTTTCAAATTATTAACTATTCACACTTCAGTCCATATGCACATGTTGTTGCAGGGAAAATGTGGTATTTGCTTCATTGTGTTTTACATCTGATTGCAGCTCTGGTTTTGTGTGCTTGCTTTATGGAGCACAACGTAAACTAACCTTAGGAGTGTCCAGGTTTCGCTTTTATGAAGCACTAAGCAAAATGCATGTATCTGTCCAACCCTGGAGCACTGTAGATACTCTAACAGCATAAGGCACAAAGACCCTGAACAGCTTCAGGCTCTTTCTAATTTGTGCTATTAACCCATGGCTGTTTGAGCCAAAAATTCGTAGGGGTCTCCAAGAGAAGATGCTCCATTGGAATTCTTCACACACATAGCAAAAAACTAGACGTTATGTGAGAGAATTGGAGGCTTCGATGGGGCTACCTCAGCCCCACGAATCACATCAGATTGAACGTTTGCAACCTGCTGCATGAGAGCACTGACCACAGTCATCTCAGTGCACAACAGGGCTCTTGGACCAAAATGGTTTACGAGTTATCAAGGGCACSGGGGAGGTTACTGGTACCAGCTAGAGACGAGAGAGACCATGGGGGACAGGTTTAGTGCAGCACAGCACACGGCTGAACAGAGCGGCCTCAGGCAGGGGAGGAAACGGTGACAGGTCAACCTCCTGCGGCCG